CCCCCCCCCCCCCCCCTCTTCATAATCACAGCGACGCGCGGTGCTGACCCCTGCGCGCACAGGCATCGCCGCGGGACTCGGCGTCCGCGCATCGTACAACCAGTACGGGACGACCACGGACATCGTCGGCGGGATCCTCGACGCGTTCAGCAGCGGGATCCTGATCTACACCGGCCTCGTCGAGGTGCGTCCGTTGCGCAGCGCCTGCGGCCGCGGTGCTGATTCTGGCTTGGGTCCGCCGCGCAGCTCATGGCGCACGAGTTTGTGTTCAACAAGGAGATGATGGAGGGCCCGGTGTGGGACCTCGTGTTCTGTCTCTCGTGCATGGTTCTTGGGACGGGCCTGATGGCGCTCCTGGGCAAGTGGGCGTAGGCGGCGGCGCAGGACGCGTTTGCGTGTCTGAGCTGCCAGTGCGTAGTTGTATTTGAGTACTGACGACAACTAGAATGTGTAATGATAAACGTTTGATCGCGCCGCGATCCGGGGAGCGCGCTTAGCTGTGCGCCAGCCACGACGCCCCGAATCCTCCTGCTCTCCATGAACCACTCGAGGCTTTCGTGGGAAGAAGGCTCGCCTCGAGGTTCTCATTTGTGAATGACTTGCCTGGCCGCCGATACTCGTGAATGCGCCGTCACAGCGGACATACATGTGCCACCGCTGCAGAATACTGTAGAACGGCTGCACGATCGCCTTTGCGGTGTGTAGTCTATTAGTGCAGGCGTATGTGTGCCCGGATCGCGGACGGCACCTGAGCCAAAACTAGGGCAGAAACGACAAGGAAACGGCAACAGGTTGCCATAGTGAATTTGAGAGCTGGACTCCGGATGTTGTTCCGGCCTGGGCGAGCCTCGCGCACGTCCGATTTCCAAAAATCGTTGCAGGGCTATGTGCGACACTGCCTGCGATAGTTGCGCGAGTTTGTGCTGTGTCTTGATGTGCGAAAAGGCTGCAACTCCTGACAGATCCTGTATGAACGTCAACGCGGGTTCAGCATCTACGAGGCGCGTCACCCATCGGACACAGTACAGAGCGCCTCGCCTTATTGTTCACATATCGGCGTGGCGCACATGAGATACCACGGCTGGCTGCAGGCTCGGTTGGTAACAAGATAGGTTACAGCCACGCGTATTGCATATACGGAGATGATGTGATTTTTCCAGCTTTCCAACTTCATGGAGTGGCACTGATTACAACATACGACCATGTGGGCACTCACCATGCGACAGTGTGCTTGAGTGTACGGGTGATGCGGGGTGTACGTCAAATATTCGTCAGTGGCGGCCAAGGTTCGTTGGTTATTCAAAGATGGGATCAGAAACTGAGAGGAGGGTATTGGGCGACGTCGGGGAGTCCAGCAGAGACGGATAAACGCAGAGAGCATGTGATTGACGGAACATTGTTGTGGACGCCCTGCTGCACATTGACGACGCTCAGCTGGCACATGGAAGTGCGGTAGGCCCCGGTGGCAGTAGCTGGATCTGATCCCGAGGGACCTCATCCTCCTCATGCCATTATTTATCAGGGCGTGCTGCTGTTGCTTCGAAAGGGCGGCTCCACCTCCTTGTACACGGCCTGACGGGGCAGCCAACCTGGTTTTCCCAGGGACACACATGTTGCAAGCAGGAGCCAAGGGGCACCGGCAGTCATGCGGCGCGCACAGAGGAACATGTGTCGCTGAAGGTTGGAGCTGGAAGCTTGAGCTTGAGCCTTTGGCCAGCATCGGGAACGCAATCAGAGAGACGCGTTCATCAGACGATGAGAGATGTCGGCGCATTTTGAGCGGGCTGACCCTAGGGGCCATCTCCATCCGATAGCAGAGCGCTGTGTGGGACGGTTGCAACCAGGAAACGGGACGGAGGTAGCCCATATGGAAACGGATTGCGCGCCATATGTATGCGCCAGAAAGTCTATGGGGGTCGTCATGTGTGTTGTGGGAGACGCTGATGTGCGAGTGTTGCACGCTTGTCTGCGCAGTAACTGAGTAGAACGATATGAGAATGCTCGTGCGGTCGCCACGGACGAGCGACCTCCGCTCGGGCCCGGGAGGGCATAGTTCCATTTCTGGAGATTCTGCGTCTCGGTCACATGACGTTGGTCGCGTCCGAATGGAACACTGCACTCTCAGCTCTCAGTGCGCATTCAATCATCGACCGCGATGGAATATTTGGACTGGCGAGTGGCGCCTCTCGGTGCGTGACAATCACGGAGCGCACGAGAAACGGAGCGCGTTGCTGGAGGGAGTTCTGGCCGGTGCTGGCGGCATCGTTGCGCGAACATGCATCAGGTGGCATTTTCTGCCTCGTTACCCATCGCAGCTCATGTCCAGTCGTTCACATCAGGCAATCACGAGATGAAGATGGCTCCACTCCGGCATGTCTTGTCCCAGTTCGCTCGGAATGGACGCGGGCAGTGGCCGGGGAAGCAGCCTCGAACGCTGCTGCCAGGGTCCGATACGGGGTGCGACGATTCGCCTCCTTGCTCGCCAGCCTGATCGCCCCACCCGACCCGTCGGGTTCCCTCCTCGTATTTAACACCCACGCCAGATCGTTCCTCTCCTTCACGCAGGCCTGCCATGGCCCCCACACTCCTCCTCCTCGCCTATGGCCTCCTCGCGTCTGCCCCCCTTGCACTCGCCCTAGGCTCCGCATGCTCCACGCCCATCTCTGGCGGCACTGCCGCCGCCGGTGATCCGTTCTGGATGCAGAACATCGACCACCAGGGCACGTCTGCGTTCAACCCTGATCCAAGCACATACCAGGTCTTCCGCAATGTCAAAGACTTTGGTGCCACCGGAAACGGCGTCACAGACGATACGGACGCCATCAAGTACGCATCTTTCACTGCCACGTCGTCCCGTTCCTAATAGGCTACCTATACACCAGTTCCGCCATCTCCTCCGGGAGTAGGTGCGGAGATGCAACATGCTCGTCCTCAACCGTCACACCCGCCGTCGTCTTCTTCCCTCAAGGGACCTATCTGGTCTCATCGCCCATCATGTACGCTATTCTTATATATATCCTGCACAATCACATTCCTCACACAAACCAGTGCATATTATTATACACAGCTTATTGGTGACGCACGAGTCCCTCCGACCATACGCGCCTCTTCGAGCTTCAGTGGCATGGCAGTAATCGGTGAGCACTGCCATCCGATGTCTTCCGTCCTATTCCTGCACTCTTGTGATATCCACTAATTCCCTACGTGGTCCACACTAGACGCGGATCCCTACATTCCGAATGGCTATGGAGCTGAATGGTACAACTCAACCAACAACTTCTATCGCAGTGTCCGCAATTTTGTCATCGACGTCACCGAGATGTCTGCTACTTCGTCAGCAACCGGGCTGCATTGGCAAGTTTCCCAAGGCACTTCGCTGTATAACCTCGTCGTAGAGATGAGCACCGCGTCCAACACTGCACATCAAGGTAAGCCCAGCTCATTCAAAAGATCCGATCATGGCCCAAATTCTTGCCGCGCAGGTATCTTTATGGAAAACGGCAGTGGTGGCTTCATGGGAGGTACGTTCGCCCTTCCTAGAAAGTACGCGGCTCCTGATGTTGGATGGGATCTTCCATGTAGATCTCGTCTTCAACGGAGGTAAGCTTGGATTGTCTTGTCCTAGTCTGGGGAAGCTTTAACCGCCTTTGGAAGGCAAATATGGTATCTGGGTTGGAAACCAGCAGTAAGCCTCATGCTAGCGTCTGAGTACATTTTCTTTTTACCAATTTGACTTGATCTCAGATTCACTGTTCGCAATGTCACTTTCAACAATGCCAATACAGGTAAATCTTCTGCGCTAGATATTTGATAGAGCTGATCCTAACCTGATTGGTCGCAGCTGTCTACATGGACTGGAACTGGGGTACGTTTGAACACCGTGAGCCATAGCGGCTACTGATTAATGTGTTCTTAGGATGGACATTCCAGGACATCACCAGTAAGTATTTCCCAATTCGACGCGGCGTTCTCCTGACATGCGTTTGCAGTTAATAACTGTCAAATTGGCTTCGATGTGCGAACAGGCGGGCTGTCGGAATCCGAGCAGGTGTGCCGCGGCTTCTAAATAATCTCGAAATGACATCGGCTCACTCCCTTATTATCTCTTCTAGAGCGCCGGTGCGGTGGCCATCATCGACGCCACTGTAAGCAACACACCGGTTTTCGTGCAAACCACGGAGGCGTCCACGTCCCTCGCTGGTTCCTTGGTGCTCAACAACTGTCAACTTACGGACGTTCCCACTGCTGTCGGCGTCGCTAATGGCGATGTTGTCCTAGCTGGAGGGACGACCACGATAGCAAGCTGGGGCCAAGGCAATGTCTATTCGGGCACGAATAATGGACACACGTTTGTGCAAGGAAATATCGCCGCCCCTACAAAGCCAGGAAGCTTGCTATCCAACGGCAGGATTTTCGGAAGGACCCGTCCCCAGTGCGTATTTTCCATTGACATCACTGTTCGTTTATTGACCAATGACACACAGGTATGAGAATTATGCTGTTTCTCAATTCGTCAGCGTAAAGAGCGAGGGTGCAAAGGGCGATGGCCATACGGATGACACTGCAGCTCTGCAGTCGACTCTCAACAAGGTAATTTTGACGTATGGGAGTGCAGGAGAACCTCCTAATTACATCCTTGCCAGTACTCGGGTTGCAATATCATCTTCTTCGACGCTGGAACCTATCTCATAACAAGTACCTTGACAATCCCGGCTGGTACTCAAATGATCGGCGAAGCTTGGACTGTCATCATGGGAAGTGGATCAGCCTTCGCAGATCAGAGCAACCCAACCGTTATGGTGGAGGTTGGAGAGTCGGGTTCCTCGGGCATCCTCGAGATCTCCGACATCCTCTTTGTGACGCAGGGACCTAGTAAGTGCAATCCATTGGACACTACAATGGCCTGGTTGAGCATGTATCATCAGCTCCTGGTGCCATCGTCGTCGAATGGAATGTCAACTCCCCATCGCAAGGCGGCGCTGGGATGTGGGACACTCATTTCCGGTTTGTGCATCTGCATCTTCATCCTTGAATGTGTTTCTTATCTTCACTCAGGTTGGGTGGAGGTTAGCTTTTCACATCTTACATTCACCTATCCGAGTCTGATTTTGACATACTTTGCGTCGAAATCAAGCGGATGGCACTAACTTGCAGACTGCTCAATGCCCCCATGGCTCAGACTCAAACTCCTGCTTCGCAGCATTCTTAGCCTTGCATTTGACGTCTGGGTCTAACGCATACCTGGAGGTACTGGTGTCTCGCTCGTCGATGTGATCGATCGAAACTAATCACTCGATTGCCTTAGGGTACCTGGGTCTGGCTTGCTGACCACGACCTGGACAATGCGTCGCAAGACCAGCTCACAATATTCAGCGGACGTGGTATTTTATCCCAGTCCGCAGGACCGGTGTGGATGATTGGAACTGGTATGTGGTTTGCTGGACCATTGTCCGCGCAATTGAACAGTAACGTCATTTTATTGTGCAGCATGTAAGGACTTTTGAGACTAGATATTGGATGATGTTGATCTCCATTTACAGCTGAACATCACACACTATATCAATACAATCTCGCTGGCGCTCAGAATCACTACATGGGCTTGATTCAAACTGAAACGGTGAGGCTTAGATCGCGTACCATCCAGCCTACGCTCAAAACTTGTCATTTTTATTCCAGCCCTACTATCAGCCATCTCCTGCACCACCAAGCCCGTTCTCTATCGAGAGTTCGTACAGCGACCCCAGCTTCCCCTCCGGCCAGACCGCAGCTTGGGCGCTCTATGTCCAAACATCTACAGACATTCTTGTCTTTGGTAGGAACCTCATCTCATTTCCGACTCGTCATCATACTTACCCTTTGTTAGGTGCCGGACATTACAGCTTTTTCCAGAATTATGCACAGACCTGTCTGTCAAGTAACTCATGTCAAGAGCAGATCGTCTCGGTCGACTCCTCGTCTTCGCTCAGCATCTACAGTCTCTCCACCATCGGGTCAACATACCAACTCAGCGTGAACGGAGCAGGGGTCATTTCTCAAAGCTCTAATGTCGACGGACTCCAATCCACAGTGACCGTCTGGACGCAGTGAGGCTAAGAATATTGCTATTTATTGGTGAAATACGGGAGGTGTCTTTTGGGCTTTGATTTCGTTTCGATTACATTACGTCCAGCTGGCTCGATAACGTGTACTACCGCTTCAGAAATATATCCAGTCATTGTTCATGTCGTCCAGTTAACAAAGTCTGCCTTCTGCGCCTCTGCTTTCGAGTTGGAAGGGGCGTCTCGATTTGAAAGTGGGGAAGATCACGTGGGGCCCATTTTCGCGCTCGGACTCGGAATGTGGAGGAGAGGGCCGAGACTCTAGACACGACGCCCGGTACACGTCTTACGGCCATCTTCGTGCGCACTGTGACCCACGCTGGAAAGCTTGTGGTAGGTCTTTGAAACATGCACCGTTCCGGTATGCATCGAGCGCGGTGCCATGTGAGGCCTGGTGTCCGCGCCGCGTCGACTGCTGTCAATCCAGCGGTAAGCATCTGTCCCAGACCCTCCTCACTGATCTCATGGACGGCTAGCCTAGACCACTAGGTAAATGGGAGAGACCGCAGTCGATGGTCTCTTCAGAGGGAAGCGGCGACCTCCTAACGACACCCGTTGCCAGCTCCATCCCACAGAAGAGGAACTGGAGTCGACAGGCCCCTCTCGACTCTGTGAGGTCCACACCTGCGTCGAGCACCGCCGGGCTTGGGAAATGGGCTACCCGCCCTAATCGACAGATTCCTTCCACCACTTGGAATCGCGCTGACCCATCGCCGACATCTGTCGCTTCGACTTTATCTTCCCGGAGAGGCTCCGCTCCTCGCCAGACGACCCCCACTCCGTCCGTATTTGCTCGGGTACCACCTCGCCCGCAGTCTGGGGGCCGTGAGGCGGCTCCTCACCAGTCCCAGAGCAGAGATTCCGCACCGCACCAGGCCGGCAGAGATCCTGCGCCACATCAAGCAACGGGGCCTTCAAGGTCGCAGCGAGCGAACGCACAGCCGTCGTCCTCCGGATCCTCGTTCCTGCGTCAGATACTGCGCAAAGACCGGATTACTGCTGAACTGGACCGTCTCGCAGCTGGAGAGCAGGAGGACGAAGATTTGGTGGAGACAGACAAGCGTAAGACCGTTGTCAATGCCCCTACCCCATTGGAAGATGCGGTAGGAGAGCCGCTAGCTGCTGGTGAGCCTGAGGTGCGGATTCGATCACGGTCCGGCAAGCAAGCGCGCAAGGACTTCAAGGAGCGAGGCTCTATCGTATCGAAGCTGAGTATCGGCGAGGACGTGACTGTGTCCAGGCAGTCGCGTGCGTCCGGTGCCAATGCCGTTAGGGAGAGGGAGAAAAGGAAGAAAGCGGTCAGGAGCGCGAAACCCGTCAACGTGGATATATTCATCCCCAGTGTGGTGTCGGTAGGTAATTTAGCGAAGCTGCTGCATATCAGGTTAGGTAGGTCCCGTTCAATCTTTACTGCGTGATCGACTAGTTCACGCAGGCCGCTAGACACTTTGCGACGGACGATGATCAAAGTTGGCATGGACGCGGAGGCATCGTATGATCATAGTGAGTTTATCTTCTATCTGAGCCAGGCAACTTCATTGACACGAATGTAGTGCTTACATCGGAGTATGCCTCCCTTTTGGCGATGGAGTTTGGCCGAAATCCGGTTGTCAACGATGAGGCCGCGTTTGATATATACCCTCCGTACGTTGTGATGCACACACGATCTCTACACGGTTCTTACCAGCCTAAAGGCCCGCCCATCCGGATCCTGTCACACTCCCTTCCCGACCCCCGGTCGTGACAATCATGGGTCATGTCGATCACGGTAAAACGACACTACTCGATAAGCTGCGTTCTACGTCCGTCGCAAAAGGAGAGGCCGGCGGCATCACTCAGCACATTGGCGCATTCTCTGTACCAGTTGGGACTGATTCTGGTAGCGGCTCGCGAACTATCACTTTCCTCGACACGCCGGGACATGCCGCATTCTCCGCTATGCGCGCTCGCGGTGCCGGTGTAACTGATATCGTTGTTCTGGTTGTTGCTGCAGACGATGGTATCATGCCTCAGACACGCGAAGTAATCGAACTGGTCCAGAAAGAGAAGGTGGGCTTGGTCGTAGCTATCAACAAGATAGACAAGCCGGGCGTGGACGTCGTAAGTACTTTTCCTCAGCTCCTTGATGACGCTCACACGTTCCGGATGCATAGACTAAAGTAGAGCACGCGTTACTGGCCGAAGGTGTCCAGCTGGAGACTTTCGGAGGCGATGTTCCCGTTGTCAAAGTGTCGGGCATGACAGGCCAAGGCCTGGATTCACTTGTTGAGGTCCTTTCCGCCGTTGCGGAAATGCAGGATTTGCGTGCTGAGCGCGGAGGCAAAGTGCACGGTTACGTGCTGGAGTCGAAAGTCCAGAAAGGTCTTGGGTAAGTGGATCGGCTTTCGGCATTGAATGGCTCTAAATCTTGGTGCATCACAGACCCGTTGCGACGGTCTTGCTCCTCCGTGGCTGCCTGAAGTCGTCCGACCACCTCATCGCTGGCATGAGTCACGCCAAGGTGCGCGTACTGAGCGATTCCAATGGCAAGTCGGTGAAAACCGCTTACCCTGGAATGGCAGTGACAGTGTCCGGGTGGAAGGAAGTGCCGAATGCAGGAGACGAAGTACTGAACGGTACCGAGCAAGAAGTCAAGAAAGCCCATGCTAACCGCCAGCGGAAGGCTGAGATGGAAGCGACTCTGGGTGATATGGAGGTCATCAACGAGCGGCGGCGGCTTGAGAGGGAGCAACGAGAAAAAGAGCCAGAGGCAGAAGACACTGAAGTCTCTGATGCCCCCTCAAGTGGTAGCCAGCAAGCAGGACCGAAGGAGCTCAGGCTGATCATCAAGGCAGATGTCAGTGGGAGTGCAGAGGCCGTTGCGGGTGCTCTACAGGGCATAGGCAACAACCTAGCTCGTGTCAAGATTGTAGCGACTGGCGTGGGGGATGTCGTTGAATCGGATGTCATGAGGGCTAAAGCCGTGGAGGGTCAGTCCGCCGTTCGTTTGATAGAGCAGTGATCTAATTAACTTTTACACAGGAATGATCGTCGCATTCTCGGTAGGCATTCCACGCCCTGTCCAGGCGACGGCTGCATCGCAACATGTCCCGTGTCTATCCTCCACCATTATTTATCGTCTCATGGATGAAGTGAAAGACCGCGTCATCGCTCTCCTGCCCGTTAACGTTGAGAAACGGGTGTCGGGAGAAGCAAACGTGCTGCAGTTATTTGAGATTCATCTGAAGGGGAAGAAGACGATGAAGGCGGCTGGTTGTCGTGTATCAAACGGGCTGATCGAGAAAAACAAACTTGCCCGAGTGGTGCGGAACGGGGAAGTTTTGCATGAGGGTACGTACTTCATTCGCCTACCTTCTTATATCCTATACTCAAAGCTCTCATTTGCTAGGTCGTATTGGAACTCTGAAACATTTAAAGAAAGACATTATGGAAGCTTCGAAGGGGGTTGAGTGTGGCATGGCTTTTGAACGCTTTGATGAGTTACGCGAGGGTGACTTAATACAGGTCTATCAAGAAATAGAGACACCAGGTAATCTGTAGTGACAATAGAAGCCGCAACCCCTGGCCATCCTGGATCGCTAGAAATACACTAGAATATAGTAGATTACGTTCACATTGCATGTCACCCCACCTCATCTACTAAGCATAGTTCGCGTTTGCTTTGTTTACATCGTCGAGTATGATTTCCTTCCCGCCTATAGTGCCCGTTCTGCCGCCAACACCAAACGTAAGGCTAATTGGACCGAGATCCTTGGTTGTCTTCTCGAGAATGGCCCAACTTCTAGTGTCTTGTTTCTTCAAAAGCACCTCCACCTAGTATGGATGAAACTCAATCACATACATTCGGCAAAAAAATAAGACGAACCAACCTTTGTGCCGTAGAACTTGTAGCTAGATGCGGATGCATCTACTGGACCAAAAAGTTCTAGTGACTTGCGAAAGCGCTTTGACGCAGGAAGGTACAAGTCGAGATGAATCTTAGGCAAACATCATCAGTGGAGGACCAGTTGATAGAATCGGACCAGACCTTACAGCATTCTCCTCAATCTTCACCGTGCTACGACCTTCGTCTGCTTTTTTTGCAAAGACGGATACATGTACTTCGCGTGGAGTCTGATAATGATCAATGCGGCAGTCGGTGAATTGTTCAGACTGCACATTTGTTAGCTGCTGCTCCAGATGCCTGTGTCACCGAATTACCTCCGACTCCCGGTTTATGGGCACAAAGACGTGACGTCCAGTTTTACACCCTTCGATCTTAAGGAACTCGTCGAACTCTAGAACTCGACGTTTACAACAAAGATACCCCTCGAGGCTACCGATGAGTTCGGTGAAATGAAGGGGTTAAATACAAGAATACCTTGCTTCCTTCGTGGAATATGGGCTGTATGCATGTGCATTTAGCACATCGAAGATTGAAAGGAATGCAAAGTCGGACTTACGGTCTTTGGGTGGTATGTACACAGCGCTCCCGGGCCATCCCCGACTCGATTGATATCATCACTCTCGAACACAGTTTTACACCCGTTCCGCTTGCAGCTTGTACCTGGCTGGACCGGGACTGACAGATCGTCTTCGTCCTCTACAACTGGCGCGGGGGGTGCTGTAGTAACAGGCGGTTGAGCCTTCAAAGGGGGCATGGCTGATTCAGACGGTCCCGATACATAAGTCTCTGTAATAGTCTGAGACTCCGTCATCTTGAGTTCTACATTCGCTGACGACGATTTGGGGGCCAACACCTCCGGAACTTCGTCCGTATGTGGACCTCGCGCGCATCCCTTAACAAGGATTAAACGAAGCTATATATTTGTTTGAGAAGAAACGTACCGGAAGTTTCATGAATTCATCAAAATCAAGCACCGGTTTGTTTACATCTGAGCAGCACGACCAAGACTTAAGACCCTCGTGAAATATAGGGCCACCAGGATGATAGGTGCAGCCATCAGAGGCATTATCCTCAACATTATAGTCCTTTCCACAACCACGACGAGTGCAGCAAGGCATGATGAGTCGATTTGAGATGAAAGAACAAGAGAGCCTTTTGGTGCAATGCCGCGCCAGACCTGCCGAGGCGACATCGCGATCGATCGAAACTCTCAGAAAATTCCAACCTTACAACAGCCACCCTTTCCTATAGCAGGAAATGGACCCTTTACATGATTGGACCATTTTTACTTTACAACCTAGTGGAAGGCTTGATGAATGCACCTTTTGCAGCTTTGGGAAGGATGAGAAATTAGATTCCCACATGGTATTATTTGAACTCTTGTTGCACAATTTTAATCCCTTTCATATGCCTTTTGATGGCATTGAAAGGATGATTTATGTAGTAAGTTGCAATGCATCAGTACCTCTACCTGCTAATGGTGTCATCATAAGATCGACCATTGCCAGGAAAACTTGAGGTCAGGTTCGTTCTTGTCGACTAATGTCATGTTGGGGACAGAATACATATACTGGTGCCGACTGCAATTTACATTCACGAGAGCGCCATGGTCGCTACTGACCCGGTTTGTGATATTGGGCGCGACTATCACTGATTCAGACACCGAATTACCCATGAACGCACGACTGGAAACATACTATACCGCCAGATATCGCCACGTTCAGTAGGACCGGGGAATACAGCATCCGGTGCGAGCACTGGTTGTGACGTACGTATTCATAAGGATAACACGTACGAGACGCAATTAATTTGGGGGGTGGGGCGGGCATCTCCGCTTAATGAGACACTGGTCCTGCCGGAGGTTGACCACTGGGGTGAAAGTACCGCGACTTCAATTATTTTCCGTAGCGGGAACATTCACTGAAGCATAGAATTTCAATTCATTTGTACGATGGTTCTACAGGACCGTTGTGGATCGACTTACGTCCCTTGCTTCAAGTCCCTCAAAGGAACTTTGAGTACTTGAATTGGGAGATCATGACCAAGGGCCGCATGCCAGCCCTTGTCTTGAGACAAGTTCATCATTGAATGGCCATTGGTCTTCTGCGCCACAGCACAGGCTAGACCTTGGTTTTACGTCGGAGGCCGACAAATTCAATCCTTGGTGCAGCTTGAAACCTCTGGGAACAAAACAATGTCAGCACTAGCTAATGCCGGGAGTTCCAATTTCACCTTCCGAAGGGCACTGTGAGATGACACGATGAGACAGGGCCCGCGGCCCAGGTAGAAGATACGTATACGTCCCCAGACACATGCGCAGCAGTGAGACCAACCGGGTCGTGGGTACCTCCCACCCCACGACAGTTCAGAAACAGAACAGTGTGTGGGATATATCCGTGGCATCTCCACACAGGTCACCGGTCCAGAGCATGAATGCGTAATCGGGCGTTGGTGAACGCACCTCGAGGACATGGGACAGCGGTGATTGCACGGCGATGTGAAGCTACCAAAGTTCATGTTTATCAATTCAATTTTGGTAGTTGACTGATATGCTTCAATCTCGCATGTCTGAGTTGAATACGTACGAACAAAAAACTACTCCGTGCCTCCCGCTCCTCAATAGATTGAATTTAGCATTAATTGATATCTACTGAAGGCTTTGTCATCTGTGCCTTTAAATAGATACTTTCTGGGGTATCCACGCGGGCAACACGCGATTATGCCAGCTTCATATCGAGTGAAAAAGACTGTCTGGAGTGCAATACTGTTTCATGTGAAACGTTGTTCTATGGATAAAATTGGACGGCGCACCTTCAGAACTTCAAAACACATTGGCACATAGAGAGTGGGCCGGGAGTTCCAAATGCTGAGGATCGCACCAACAAAGGTGCATCATTGCCAAAAAGAGTGAGTCTACCGAGAAGAGAGAGTTATTGCCATGTTTCACGGAAAATTATTCTGTTGGCAGTCATTCGCGCCTGACACGTCTCCCCTCTGGTGGTCTTCTAAATATGACGAACTATTGGGCGGCAAGAATCAGATTTGATGCCATTGAGACAGCGAACAGACTACGCCATGGAGTCCAGACAAGGATGAACTATACCTGATAGGCGCAATGCACGATCAGACCGGTCGCTCAGATTAAGCAATGTGGTAACTTACTCCTCTCGTTTCAGAACCGTCTCTGCGAAAATATAGGCCCAGGATATTCGGCGTGTTTCATAATTGTAGTCGGGGTAGGCCAGAGAGAACATCAGTATCAGGAACACAGGCAGCTTCCTGGGAGTATATTGAACCAGCGACCCTGCGCTTCTGGTGTCATCGTGGAGAAGGGCGTAAGAGAGGAGAGATCAAAGTTCAAGGGTGGTCCTGGTGCCCAGACAGCATCGGACGATGTATTCCGGTTTCTGCCTAGTATCAACAGGACATAAAATTCATAATGATCCAAGGCTGGCGTCTGCCTGAGCCAAACGCCGATAGATGAACCCTTTGGGTCATTGAGGACGCGGATACGGCTGCAAATATTAGCGCTCAGTGACACTACGAACAACGTTGGCATATGGTAGACAGACCAAGTCATGAGTTCCCCCCCTGCATCTCGACTCCCCGTCCATTGATGCTGATAGGTGGTATCCGTCACCGGAACGGCCCCGCCGCGTCGTCGTTGCTGCGAGAACGGTATCTCCACCGATGTCTAGAAGCCGGGCAAGATGAGGGCACGATGCGATATGGGAACATTTCAGACCGCGTGAGTCGGTCGCAGATCGACATGGAACGGCTAGTTATAGCTAGAACGACCTCAGTCATATTAGTAGTGGTTCTCATCGCGATGGTGCAGAGTAGCTATCTTGGGGACAGAGCCTGAGCGAGTATGAGGGCCAATTCCTGAACCAGCAAGGACTCTTATCGGATGACATGAGGATGCAATATTCAGTGGTAGAGTACCTGGATGAGCCGAGCAGGCGTCGCGGCCGTCTCTGCCTCCGACAACTCCGCGACTTACCGGAATTCGAATCATTGGCAGCCTCGACATGATCAGGTCACCGTTGGATGAGTTTCACTCGTTGTCACGGTGCTATTAATTCACTTGCACGAAACGAAAGACTGATGTGTAGATTATTGTGCACATGCTAGACTTTCGATTCGATACGTTGACAAGTGGAGCTTCGAGGAGGGGGCTTGACCAAGGCTTGACATTGGATATTCTGTCATCGACGTAGAATCTGCTGAAAACAATTGTCATCTCCCTGAACATGTAGCTGCTAACAACCGGGGAACACGATCCAGAATCGTCAGGTATACTATATAGTTTGTTTCGAGACACGACGTACCCGCGTACTGGCACAGCTCCCACTGTCGCTCGCTCGCCTATCACCTTCAGTTCTTTGGTCAGGACGTGACGCGTTTTCCTCGCAGCTGGTTCGTTCTCTCGCTATATTCTATAGATGCGCCTGGAACGTGTTGATGAGGTTTTGCTTTGTAGATAGACCGCCTGTAATCAAGCCTAGGACCGCCGACATGACATTCTACACTATCACTTGTAAACGTTATGACAGGTGGTAGTGTATTCTGCATATACGAGGGTACGGCTCGTTGGGCATTGAATCAGTGCATCATTCAAGTTCCTGCATTTAAGCAAAACTTGTCTGACGGTAAGCCTCGTTGTGTTCCGACTCGAATGTCTTGTCAATGCAACATTGCACCGAGCAGTGATCAAATTCAAGACACCCTACAGAAACTGTACGCTTATAAGTCACAAGGAGGTCGTCCTAGGCATCAGATCATGTATCAACACATACCATTATGCTAGAGATGTTCACCCTCACTTCGAATCGGTGACGTATGTGCGGAATCAATGCCCTCCCCACTGACACGCGTATCCATCGTTTCACTACAGAAGTACGTCCAATACAAGACGGTTTCTTCCTCCGACAAACCGATTTCAAATCTCTAGCAAGTGGAAGTCGTCGAGACCCTGCATTCTCGGCTCGTCGAGCGAGCAAAGCGCTGGCAGGCATGCTGCCGTATCACAATTGCGCACATCCTCCAAATTGGCTAGAGCTCCTAACATCCTGGAGTAAGATATTCTTGCGGTGGCGGATCGACCACTACCACATCCGCAAGCATGAAATTCAGACCGGAGTAGGATCAAGATGGATCGTCGCTCACTCGGAAGAGTGAGAAAGGGAGGTTCTTGTTAAAGTCGGGTACGTGGGACTGTTATGATAAGTCCCTGGTTGACAACAATTACAGAATTCTACTCAGCAACCCAGCGAACTCAGGAAAGCCCGCTCACATTCTTGGTAGTGTATTGAGACTGTTCGGGTTCATTTACTCCATCACATGGACTCACGCGTTTGAACTTGGACCCATGTGCACGGATCAATCAAAGAGGCAGTAATCGGACGATCCTCTTTAGATTCAGGTTGAAGTCCACGCTCCGTCTGACGCTCGCTGTGGCCTAGGTTCACTTTGCAAAAAGCTTCGCGGCAACGACTTCTCACCGCTCGCATTGTCAAGTTCAACACACCCGCCCCTCACTTCGTGTACTGAGAGCATGTTTCACGTTCTCGGGAGAATCTACACACGTCCTCCACCCTATCGCTGCGGTTCCTACAAAACTCTAATTCTTCTTGGCCAGGCCGCGAGGCTGTTATCCTAACACATGTGCAATGTTATTCAAAGAAGACTTCCAGACGTCTGTGAAGGCTTGAAGGCCAAGCAAACTCAACGCCGTCAATCCGCTATTGAATTGAGGGATAACTTAAAGGCAAGGGCATAGGGCCAGGCCATCTGGTCGTCACACTACAGACTGGAGATGCATGTGAATTCAGATTACGGTATGCAAAACGACATATGCAAAGCGACATCCAAGGGCAGCTAATGTTGCAGTTACGAGAGCCCCGGACCAAACGCTTCCCATACCAAAAACCCGATTCCCCAAGGACCCACACGAGCCAACGTACGGGATGCGGAATGCAGTCTACGACGGAGTGGTGATAGAGACGAATCCTCGTGATGTATGGCGTGAGCAGTATCTTCGAAGAAAGACTTCAATCCGTCTTCACGCAACCTTCTTACTAAAATCATTGCAACTGAATGTCTTTCCGAAACAGGAGCAAGTCGGCCAATGTGTACGGCTTTCCTGGCCATGTCCCAGGGGCGGGATACCACCTCATATGCCAACCCTGCGATGGCTCCGCCCGTGACGAGGGTGGTGGCGTGTGCAACTCGGGGTATTTGACTGCGCAGATGGCCTGGTACTTGATTCTGTGCTTCGGAAGATGATATCATATCTTGTGTCATCGTTTTTGTCTCTGTAGCGGCCCGTCTTGTGAGTTCGAATATCGAGAAAAACACGGCAAATCCTTGGGAGCATTCCTACATCAGAATGAGGTTTATCATCGCCGCAAAATATCTTACCACAAATGTCCTTTGCGCAGCCCCAGCCCCACCCATCCCAGCCACGGCCTGCCATTTCACCAACCTCCCGCATCCACTCGCGTACTTGACGAGCGTCTTGTACTACTTCAATCCGGGGCTTCGAGGCCTGCACCTGAGTGCCACGAAACACTTCTTTCCAGGCATGCGACCAACCTCGTGCAGAAGAAGAGCCACCTTCGATCGCGAGCCGGACGTTCTCAGCCGGAGCCGCCACGAGCGCCTGCATACCGCCAGCGGACGCGCCCGATACTGCCGCTAGCATGATGGGGCTACTAGAGAGGTGGTTCTCCAGGGCATCGGAGACGGTAGAATATGTTGACCATAATACAAATCCTAGGACACCATTGACTAGCATGGGAGGCACGAAGTGTTTCGGAATAACCGTGAACTGTGCGGGCAAGTGTCAGAATGGGTTACTGCCGCAGAAGGAATCACTAACCCCTTGCTGCTTGACGAGCCAAGACAGATACTGAGGAGTGAGCGACTGGCCATGGTAGTTTGCGAGACGTTTGAGTGTTTGCCAGCCGTTGACTTATCGATGCCCATGAGCTGGAGTTCAGAGGCTGAGTAAGAAACGGAGAGCACCTTTTGAAGGCCGGAAGAGCCGGACGGGACGGGAAAAGTAGAGAGCAAGACTACGGGTTGCAGTCCGGGCAAGCGCAGCGTAAAGGGAGTTCCCTTGGTCTGGAGTAGTGTCCTGCAGAGGAGAGGCCGACATGCTCTGCCCAACGCGTCGCGCCAACTGGGGTGGCCCGGAGGTTGCCGGGATCCCGATACAATCGTCGCGGCACCCAGCTCAGGCTATGATCGTTGCTAGCATCGAGCACCGTTTGCGGCCTCATGCTGATAATGCAACATATCGCGCGTTGTTCCAGCAAGTATGCCTGGTGCTCTGGTTATCGATGTGCTTTTTCTCGTTCTATAAGCTCTTCAGTTCCATCTCGAGGTCTCCCTCCCGACTTTCTCTTGTATCCGCATTTTTTCAATATATCCGAACAACGTATTTTGCTTACGGCCGCTCTCGAGAAGCTTGATTCGATGGAGAGCAGACAAATTAGACGTCGCAGGAAAACTTTACCTGTTAGAGAGAACCCCCTCCAACCTGGGGATAGGGCGGAGGACGTCCAGACCCTCTTTCTCCCCGATGATTTCTACACTTTCCAAGAGGTACGTGCTGCCGTAATAGCTGGCCTTGCATGCGTCTTATTATCTGCACAAGGGGCACTATGATGGAGTCATCAAACGCTTCCGGGAAACACATGTCACAGCGTGGCCAACAGACGTGGCAGGGCTGCACACGGTGCTTTCCCGCCTGCAAGGTCTCTTTCCCAGCCAAGATACCCAAACGCATCTTCTGCATCTTGCTGCGGATGGCGAAATTCTTGTACGTCTGCTTACGAGCTCGGCAATCTTCTATTGGTCGTCTAACCTTTTGGAAGCCCCACGTCGATAATGTTGGTGCAAGTGGTTCTTGGATCCTGGGCGTGAGTCTAGGAGCATCACGCATCCTGCGACTGGAGAACACCGAGAACCAGCATGAAGCATTTGACATCCCCCTGATCTCTGGAAGCGTCTACGTCCAAAAGTGAGCGCCTTCGCCGTGTTCGACACTTCGGCGCTCATGTTCATGTGCATCTCAAGATATTCTGTTCGCTACGGCTATCAGCACTCCATCCTGAACGACGGCTTCCTTAACGGCACTCGGTACAACGGAGGCCAGCGACTCAGTATCATTGTCCGGGTAAGTGGCATGCTCCGCATGGATGTCCATATGCTACATGATTCTTGTCCTACGCAGGATTGCCTGCCTACTGTACAAATTCCAGGGTAGCTACGATCTGCCAGGACAGCATGCGTACCCTGGGTACAATCGATACATAGATTGTACAACCTACTGGGTCATCTACTTTTGCTCATGACATACGACCCATCAGCGCATCCCCTAACAACCACAGAATTTGCGGAGTAGCCTCCAGAACAGCAGAAATAAGCGGCACGATGCCGATGGTATATCGGCGTTTCGGATATCTGATGCCAGCATACGTAAGACTATGCCGAATCAGACATGTTATCACTTACGGTGTGGTCGCAATGTATTGCACCAGATCGATGATCTCTTGCGGTTGTACAGCGAAGTGTCGTAGGGTATCTAACGGAGAGCTATTTTTTGGTCGCGAAATCTAAATGCAGGTTTGCAGGATGCTGTCGAATGCATGCTCACCTGAATAGGAGAATTTGCTGAATCATCCGAATTGTGGCCTGGATCCTGTTGCAATATGGCTAGTCTAGGTACAGAGTTGACAAGGTCAATGATGAAAGTGTACTTACCCCGATTCGTTATTTGATGAAACTTTACTCCCGCTAGGCAGCGCCGCGGATTCACCAGCATGAACTATCGAGACATGAACACCTAAAGGCGCCAGTTCGCGGCTCAAGTATCGAGACAATGATTGATGTGTTCCATGCAGAGGAGACAGACTTCCTGAAGGTACTGGATTGAGTCATCAGATATCTCTAGATCGGCATGGCTCACGGAAGACATTGTCTCTACACTCCGATATCATGACAACTCGCCCAGAAGACGCGACAAGGGAGTCGAGACAGTTCTGAACGACGAGGACAGGTTCAGTGACCGCCCATTTGAAGCTATCGTCCCACGATTTCATCGTATCCGTGTCGATCACATTCCAATCTCGCCGCTGTGAACTAACATTGGCATGGTGGGCTACGTACGAAGCGAAGCTGTCTTGCACGAACTGCGTCTGTGGGAGGAGCATTATGACATTGACAAGTCGCAGCGAATGCGTGCCACAGTACGCATGAATGGTCTCGAACACATGCGCATGTTGTGATGTGTCCCCTAGATCCAAGGAGATGGGAGCAATAAGACCCCACGCAGTGTTTCCTGATTTCTTTCGGACCTTGTGCCATTCGTACATGAGCTTAGGATCGATCAGTAACTTCACGGAATCAATGCGCCACGCCTCACCGAAGAGACGCTTGTACTTCCGTCAGAATGAAGACCATGCCTGTCCTGCCGGCAGAGGGTGAAGACGGTGTAACCGAGTTCCGAGAATCTGAACGAGACATGTTTGCCGATGTCTGCCAGGGCGAAGCCGTAATTGATCGAGACGCTAACGAGGAGCATGAGAGACTTGTGCAGCATACCTTCGTCTGCACCGATGACTACGATTGCACACTCGTGGGGGTTGTACACACCACACGGCTTGACTGCCAGGAGTCGTGCGCAGAGCTGGAAGAGACGCGACTCGAGACGCCCGTATGTAGCCAGTGTGCGATGGAGAATGGACAAGCAGACGTAAAAAGCCACGGCAAAGACGGATGTGGCCACACGTCTGGGAGAGAAAGACGGCATGGTGGCCGCGCGCTGGGATGCAGCAGATCGACGCGACCGAGTCGCAGCCTCAGGAGGCGAGCGCGTGGATCTCGATCTCAGCCCGGATCGCAGCCGCGCGAACCTCCTCTGCCCAAATCCGATCTCCGAATCTCCTCCCCGTCCCGAGTGGCTCACCGTTGCCGTCTCGTGCATCGTCCTGCTGTCCTTTCCTAGTCCTCTCTCTTGCCACATGCTGCTGCACCCGTTCCTGGCTTTACGTTCTCCTCAATGCACCCGGCCCCGGGTATGGATACTAGCAAGGTGACACTTGCCCATCCATGTTGCACTTGTGCCGCCATTGCCTTCTCAGTAGACCCGGCTGCAAGCCGGACGCTTTATCCACCAGGTTGGCGTGGGCTTCGAGGAACAGTCTTCTCGCCTGGCAGTCTAGCACCAATGCCTCATGGACCGTGCTTGATGCGCAACATCCTACTCCGCATGGTGCACCACCCAATTTAAACAGATTCTACGTCACCTACCGAGGGCGGGACATGGGCGGAAATAGATATTGTCCGGTTGTTTGATCCCTGCGTAATCAGTCTGCACTGAAAGGCAAGTATGTAGTCGAGGACCGGTGATGCCTTCACATTTGTTTTCCCGACCGTCATCAAACAGGCCATTCACGCCCTGTGCAGCCCTCGTCGCTTAGGATTCGCCGATATATGTAATTTAGTATGGGAATCTGCCTTTTCCAAGCCAGCGACATTGTCCGATTCATGCGATGATATGCCCCCTCAGGCATATGAGAGCACATCGACCAAGTCCAGACCTTGCCTCGCCACGTAGAATGTTTTCGCAGATCTGGGGTGGTTTCATTTTTGGTACAGTACAAGTAAAAAACGTCCCGCCAAACTCTATGATGGTATCGAGTCCATAGGCCAATACATAAATCTACACACCGATAGGAGAAAAAGTCTAAAAGACAGAGAGCCGGGAAAATATGCTTCGGCGGTCATCACATAGTCCAAAATGTCTGTAGAGTTCATAGTCAAGTCCGGGGCGAGAGAATTATGCCACTCTGGTGAGAACGGTGATTCTGTATGACGGAAATATAAATACCCGATGGATCAATGGTTGAGAGAAAGAGACTAGACTGACGGGATTTTAACGACAGTGCCAGCACCTTCGACTCTGATGACAGCAACTTGCATGTTCTGTCGGCAATCGTCAGGACTACAGATGCGACAAAGGAATTGTACGAACGCCCTCCACTGTCTCAATTGCTTGTACGGTTCCGTACCGAGTGCGATCATTCTCGTAGAATACGACGCGAGTACCGGGCTAAAGTGGTGAGCTTATAAGATTATTCACTCGAGGGAGGGCACTCACTGGGAAATTGTCCATTAGTTGCGTGGACGCACAAGTTGTCGCGGCGGACCTGGGGATTGGGGGAGTGGCATAGAGCACAATACAGTCTTTATATAAAGTGATACTGAGATGTCTTGAACCAACCTTCTAAGACGTGGAATTGGTCATGACGTCGAGACACATAAGTTCAAAAGAGCATCGGTTATGGTGGTAGAAGATCTCTCTCGACAAGACAATTTCGCACACAGAAGGAGCTAGATTTGAGGGAACGCGTTGCATGAAAAGCAGGGCAAGTTCCTAGTCTGTACAGATCCCCAAAGCTCCTATACAGCTTCGCGGGAGAATTTCGATATGAACAGAAGGGCATGGCGAGTAGATGGGTGATAGAAGCGGAGGCCACGAGCTAGTCGCTCGTACGTAAATTACTGGACTGAAAGCACGCAGCAATGCATCAGCGGCAATTCATATTGATCCTGGGTTCGGGGGCCTAGGTCCTAATGTTCAGGGAGGCATTCCAGCTGTCTCTGTGTGATCAGCCCAACGGGAAGCAGCTTGACTGTGGTGAGCGAAGCAGTGTGCGGGCCCTGAGTGCCCAGGAGTTGACATTACTGTGAGACAGGGATGCCAGGGCAGAGAGCGTGAAATGTATCACTTGTGGAAGAGGAGGATACAACACAGTCAACGTCGGCGCTTGAAATGTAATATACGATTATGTAAGGCTAGATCTGAGCTTTGATTGGTACGCTACGCTGAACTGGGTAGCACTGTCTTGGGAGGCGACCACTATGCCATCACAGACCTTACCACCCAGAGCAGCACCTCCCCGTCATGACATGTCTGTTGTTCTTGTCACAGGATCGTATGACCATGACATCCGCTTCTGGGAGGCTTGGAGCGGTATATGTTCTAGGACTATTGTGAGGAAAGAGGAATCCGGTGTCAGCGTTCCAGCTATTTTACCCTGAACCGACTACCATGCTGACCGTTGGTCACAGCAAGTCAATCGTCTTGCTATTTCGCCCGAGTGAGTAATTACCCTTGTACGTCCGTCTTTCGACTGACCCCTCCTCGCGCAATCCAGCAAGCGCTTGCTGGCTGCTGCCGTTCATAAGAAGATAAACATATATGAAGTAGGCAGCACTTCATCTACTCCCGTGAGCCTTTCTTAAGAACCCAGTGGAAAATGGCACTTCAACTAACATACACAGCTCATCGTCTTCGAAGGACATAATTCCAACATTACATCGGTGTCTTTTCACAGCGAGGGCAAATGGCTAGTGACGGGAAGCGAAGATGGCACTATCAAGATCTGGGATCTCCGGTTAGTCGAGTAACTTCCAACCCATAATTCCCCGATTGAAATCACCGGCCCATGGTAGAAGCACCCATTTGCATCGGAATTATGACAACGAGGCTCCAGGTGCGCTTTGATCTTCAGCATCCGGAACAAGGCGCTGTAGCTAACAATTTCATATCAGTGAACGATATTGTAGTGCACCCGAACCAAGGCGAACTCATCTCGTGTGACCAAGCCGGCAGAATCAAGCAGTGGGACCTGTCGGAAAACATCTGTACGCATGAACTGGTGAGTTCTCTTGCTATTGCTCGACCAAAGTCGGTACAAAACTAACCCTACCCACAGACGCCTGCAGGTGACACACCCATGCGCTCGATCAGTCTTGCCTCTGATGGTTCTTGCTTGGTGGCGGGTAACTACAAGGTCTTTTTGAGCTTTTTTACTTGATGCATATCCTGATGACGGTCTTTGGTTTAGGGAAAGTGTTACGTTTGGAAGATCAACGAAGAGAAATCGGATCTGCCTAGGTTTCAGGCAGTCACTAAATTCCAAGCGCATAACAAGTATTTGACCAGATGTTTACTAAGTCCCGACGTGAAGTAGAAACTCTTGATCAATCGAAACTTTAAAGGGCTAATCAACAATGAGCGTCGCAGATATTTGGCAACGTGTTCCGCGGATACGACGGTGAAGATCTGGTCGTTGACGTCCAATTATGAATTTCGATTAGAAAAGGTTCTCCAGGGACATCAGAGATGGGTATGGGATTGCGCATTCAGCGCAGACTCAGCATATCTGGTAACAGGTACAGGTGGATTTTGTGTATCTGCAAGAGTCGATATTCATTGTTCGGTCTTTAGCCTCTTCGGATCATACCGCACGGTTATGGGAAATGGCTTCAGGAGAGACGGTCCGCCAGTATATTGGTCATCACAAGGGTGAGTTTTCAGCGTCGCAATTCGCATCACACAGTTTCACTTTTGAGCAGCGGCAGTCTGTTGCGCATTGCACGATGGAGCTGGCTAGACTAATTCTCCCTCGAAAATTTACCTCGTGTAAGCTATATGCGGATATCATGGAGACGTCTTTTCTGCTGCGTATGCAGCCTGAGGCCCATCTGTGAACATATATGTGGAGAAGATTCTGCACTTGCCCACAAGACATTCTCCTTCCCAGGGGCGTTTCTTCGGAAGATGCGCCACAACACGACACAGGCGTCGATGCTCTAGACTTTGGAATATGGCCACAATCAGATTGGGGGAATTGCGACAGCCGACGATGTGGTGCGTGTTCTTTACGCATGGCAATGAAGAGGGGTACGAGCGTCGATTCTGTTTGGTTCAATGATGCCTACCGGTCTGATAGAAGTGCAGACTTGATGATGATCCAAGGCGATCCGGGGGTCGCTGTATTGCGTTATCAGCAAGTGAATGGCAGTTGAAATTGGTCTGGTCATCCCATTTCACTGAAGTGATGTTGAGAATGTGGTACTCCAGGTTTAGGATCCATGATACCCGCTGACGCATCAACACAGTGTATTGTGCTTTACTGTGACTAGGTCGAAGGCTAAGTGCTGTCGAGTGGTGGTTGCGTGGTTATACATATCGTGCTCATAGATGAGTAATGATGCCACCTGTGCCATCGGTGTGTGCTGACTGCGTGTCGTGTCCGTTGAGAGGACAGGGACGCTCTGGCTGGGGATATCAATGGGGCATGCTAACGAACGCCTTCCGTACCATACGATCGCGAGTAGAGCCTCGCGCCTGACCCGGCGGGCGCGGGTGCGGATAAAATTGGCTATTGAGAATGCCGCATGTCCGCTGCTTGCGGCAGCTGCAGATGCGGTCTAGTTCGCCTCGTGGAGGATGATTCTGTGCAGCAGAGGACGTACGAGAGTGCTGCGCGGATTGTATGGAGATCGTGTGCCGCGATGTTGCCACTGGATGTCGGAAAGCCACTTTGCCTTGAAAATGAATTTGAGTGATACTCGGCGGCGGCTCCGGCGGAGCTCCGCGGCGGGAGTTGTATCGTCCGCAATCGGCTGTGGCCTTCCGAAAGTGGGAATTACTCTGGGCCGTCGCCATTGGGCCTTGGCCGAGTCAGCCTCCGCCAAGCTTACCACTTACTCGGACACCATCGGGAGGCCGGCCTGAACGTTCTCCAAGTGACTCCGTCGTCGCTGCTCAGGACCGCGGCAATTTTCTCGTCTGCCCTTTCTTGCGACCGCCATCATCGTCTTGAGCTCGCACCCCCCTTCATCTCTCTAGCTCCCAGTCTTTCGTCGTCCGCCTAGTTCTCCTCGTCCTCGTTCTATGGCCTTCGCCGACACTGACACACTCTCCCCTGACTTTCTCGACGAACACCCGCCAGTCCTCAACGATAATGGCTTCTATACCGTCGAACGCGACCCTGATTCTTTCGATGGGACCTTGCCCGCCAGTCAAGGCTTGTACGAAAATCAGTACGAGAAAGACTCCTGTGGTGTAGGCTTCATCTGTCAGATCAAGGGCGAGGAAAGCCATAAAATTGTCTCAGATGCTCGCCAACTCTTATGTGCCATGACCCACCGTGGTGCGACCGGCGCTGACAGCCGCGACGGAGACGGTGCAGGAGTCATGACAGGCATTCCTCATCTCTTCTTCAAGCGTGAGGCTGAAAGAGACATCGGCTGCGAGCTCCCCGAGCCAGGGGAGTACGCTGTTGGTAATGTATTTTTCAGACCGAATGATCCCGTCGGACTACAGAAACAGCAGTCAGTCTTCGCCAAGGTTGCGAATGATTTGGGTCTGCGCGTCCTTGGCTGGAGGGAAGTGCCAACCGACGGATCTATTCTTGGCCCTGCGGCCGCCAGCAAAGAGCCTGCTATCTTGCAGCCATTCGTTGTCCTCCGATCGCATTATGGCGATGGAAACACTAGTCGAGGGGGGACATTTGATGCGAAACGGTTCGAGCGCCAGCTTTACGTTCTCCGGAAGCACGCAACCCACAGCATGTTTGTCTTCTCGCTTTTATTTAAAGTGATCAATGGTTTGACAGCCCGGACTTCTTCCGTATGAAGTACGCTTGCCAAAGGTTTTTACGTATGCTCTTTGTCGTCAAAGAATATCGTCTACAAGGGCCAGCTTTCGCCTCCGCAAGTCTACAACTACTATCACGACCTCAACCATGTGCTCTATCGCGCGCATTTTGCTCTCGTACATTCGCGTTTTTCAACAAACACATTCCCGAGCTGGGATCGTGCCCAGCCTATGAGGTGGGCTGCTCATAACGGTGAGAAGCACGATCTACGTAGAGTGATCGCGGATTTAATGATATTGGCAATCAGGCGAGATCAACACTATTCGCGGCAACAAGAATTGGATGCGTGCTCGAGAAGGTGTTCTATCTTCTTCTCTCTTTGGCGAGCAGCTTGACCTCCTATATCCGGTCATTGAGTCGGGTGGCTCCGATTCCGCGGCGTTCGACAACGTACTTGAACTGCTCGTCGTCAACGGCGTACTGACTCTTCCTGAAGCTATTATGATGCTGATTCCTGAGGCGTGGCAAGGGAACGAGATGATGGAGCCGGAGAAAAAGGCGTTTTACAACTGGGCGGCATGCTTACAGGAACCGTGGGATGGGCCAGCGCTTTTTGCTTTCAGCGATGGACGTTACTGTGGTGCCAATCTGGATCGTAACGGTCTCCGACCTTGCCGATATGTGGTAACGAACGAGGACATCATTGTGTGCGCTTCCGAGGTTGGCGCTGTCTTCATTCCTCCTGAGAAGGTTGTATCCAAGGGTCGTCTGAAACCGGGTCGCATGCTTCTTGTAGACACCGGCGAAGGGCGCATTGTCGATGACAAGGAGCTGAAGCGGGCGACTGCTTCGAAGCAGAATTTTGCTTCATGGATCGAGACGCATGTCCTACATGTCCCCAACATCGTGAAGCGCGTGCAGCGTTCGCAGCGTATTGATGTTGTAGTCGATGAATATTCCCTCAGTACCGACCCTAAACTTCTGGCATTTGGTTATACTGTGGAGCAGCTCAACCTACTTCTGATGCCCATGGTGACTGATGGCAAGGAGGCTCTTGGTTCCATGGGTAATGACGCGCCATTGGCATGCATGTCCACAAAGCCGCGCTTGATTTACGAGTACTTCCGACAGCTGTTTGCTCAGGTAACAAATCCCCCGATTGATCCCATCCGCGAGAACATCGTGATGTCTCTTGAGGCGTACATCGGCCCCGAAGGAAATCTTCTGGAGATGAAGCCGGAACAATGTCACCGTATTCTGCTTCGCTCTCCAATCCTGACTATAGAGGAGATGAACGCAATGAAGAACCTCAAGTATGCGTACTCTACTTGGCCCTCCCGGATTATCGATATTACATTCCCGAAGGAGCAGGGTTTGCCCGGATACAAGGTCGCCCTCGAGCGTGTCTGCAGCGAGGCAATGGAGGCGATCGAAGAAGGCATCAAAGTGATCATTCTTTCTGACAGGGCAACCGGTCCGGACCGTGTACCTCTCTCAGCTCTGGTCGCGTGTGGCGGAGTTCACCAGCACCTGGTGTCACAGAAGAAACGTGCCAAAGTTGCATTACTTGTCGAGACCGGTGAGGCTCGAGAGGTCCACCATCTGTGCGTCTTGCTTGGCTATGGCGCCGATGGTATCTGCCCGTGGTTGGCAATGGAGTGCATTCATAAAGTTGTGCGGGAAGGACTGTGCGTTCGCGTATTTCCTCATATGACGTGTGCTAAACATTATGATAGTGTCAAGGACAACAAGACTTATGATGAGCTTTCGGACAATTTCCGCCACTCCGTCGACAATGGTATCTTGAAGGTCATGTCGAAAATGGGTATCTCCACCTTGCAGTCGTATAAAGGCGCGCAGATCTTCGAAGCCCTCGGATTACACGTTGAAGTTATCGAGAGTTGCTTTCCTGGGACTGCTAGCCGTGTCCAGGGCGCTACCTTTGACCTACTAGCTATGGATGCCTTCGAGACGCACGAACGCGGTTGGCCCACCCGGGACACTATTCTGCCGCCTGGTATGCCCGAGTCAGGCGATTACCATTGGCGTTCTGGCGGGGAGGCCCATATCAACGATCCGGCTGGAATTGCTAATCTCCAGGACGCCGTTCGAGAGAAGAATCAGCGTGCCTACGATGCGTATGCGGCGAATGCTAATGAGCAGACCAGCGCGGTGCATCTTCGAGGGTTGCTCGACTTCCGCTATGAAAGTGCTACTCCAATCCCCATCGAACAGGTCGAACCTTGGAACGAAATTGTGAGGAGGTTCGTGACCGGAGCGATGTCGTATGGTTCGATTTCTATGGAGGCTCATTCGACCCTTGCTATTGCTATGAACCGTCTCGGTGGTAAGTCCAACACCGGCGAAGGAGGTGAAGATGCCGAGCGCTCCCTTGTTCTGCCTAATGGAGATGTCATGAGGTCTGCTATCAAGCAGGTTGCTTCTGGTCGATTTGGTGTTACTTCAAATTACCTGGCTGACGCGGACGAGCTCCAGATCAAGATGGCTCAGGGTGCAAAGCCCGGAGAAGGAGGCGAATTGCCAGGTCACAAGGTCTCTGGATCTATCGCTCGCACTCGTCATTCGACGGCAGGTGTCGGTCTTATCTCTCCTCCACCTCATCACGATATCTACTCGATTGAGGATCTCAAGCAGCTCATCTATGACTTGAAGTGCTCAAACCCAAGAGCTCGGGTGTCCGTGAAACTAGTGTCTGAAGTCGGCGTTGGTATCGTGGCGAGCGGTGTTGCAAAAGCGAAGGCGGATCACATCCTCATCTCCGGGCACGATGGCGGCACGGGTGCTTCGCGATGGACTGGTATCAAATACGCAGGTCTTCCTTGGGAGCTTGGTCTAGCCGAGACGCACCAGACCCTAGTTTTGAACGATTTGCGTGGTCGGGTCACTGTCCAGACTGATGGACAGATCCGTACTGGACGGGACATTGCAATCGCATGCCTTCTGGGTGCGGAGGAGTGGGGTTTTGCCACTACGCCCCTTATAGCAATGGGTTGTATTATGATGCGCAAGTGTCATCGTAAGTTTATCCGACTTTTCTCTTAGTGAATTCAAGATTGACGACTTCTTGTAGTGAACACGTGTCCGGTTGGAATAGCTACTCAGGATCCTCAACTTCGCGCGAAGTTCGCTGGTCAGCCGGAACAGGTTATCAATTTCTTCTACTACATCGCGGAAGACCTTCGTAGCTACATGGCGAAGCTCGGTTTCCGTACCATCAACGAAATGGTGGGGCGAGCCGACATGCTGAAAGCGGACGAGAAGCTTCGTACGCCGAAGACGGCGCACCTTGACTTGTCGGCTATCCTGAAGCCGGCTTGGCAGATGCGTCGTGGTGCCGCAACTTATCGCGTCCGACCACAAGACCATAAGCTATATATCCGTCTCGACAACAAGTTCATCGATGAATCGGAGCCTGCTCTTACTAAGGGACTTCCTGTGCATATCGACTGTGATGTCACCAATACGGACCGAGCTCTTGGTACCTCGTTGTCGTACCGGGTATCAAAGTTGTACGGCGAAGAGGGCCTTCCGAAAGACACCATTCATATTAGCATGCGGGGCTCCGCTGGACAATCTCTGGGCGCTTTCCTGGCACCAGGCATCACGATTGAATTGGAAGGCGATGCCAACGACTACGTGGGCAAGGGTCTGTCTGGAGGGCGTTTGATTGTCTATCCCCCAAAACAGTCGACATTCAAAGCCGAAGAGAATATCATTGTTGGGAATGTCTGTCTCTACGGCGCGACGTCCGGAGAAGCTTTCATTCGTGGCGTTGCTGCGGAACGATTCGCAGTGAGGAATTCCGGAGCGAATGCCGTTGTCGAAGGGACTGGTGACCATGGGTGTGAGTACATGACTGGAGGTCGAGTTGTGGTCCTTGGTAGCACTGGGCGCAATTTTGCGGCTGGAATGAGTGGTGGGATTGCCTACGTCTTGGATACTGCTCATACATTCGCCTCAAAGGTCAACATGGAGATGGTGGAGCTTGGAAAGGTTACCGATCCTCGCGAGATCGCTCAGTTACGGGGTCTCATTGAAGATCACAGACACTACACTGGTTCGGAGGTCGCTGATCGTGTCTTGCATGACTTCCATCATCTCCTCCCTCTCTTCGTCCGTGTCATGCCCCATGATTTCAAGCGCGTGCTGGAGGAGCAAGCTGCGAAATTAAAGGAGGAAAGAATGCGACACAGCATGGTTGACTTGGTTCCTTCCCGCACTGCTAGCCAAGTTGACCTTGCTTCGGAGGGGCTAGTGGATATTTTATCACCGAAGGAGCCCCTCTCGTATCATCCTAGCAGGTCGTCGTCTAGAACCCGCGTGGAGCCTTCTGTACTGGACTTGGAAGATTCTCTTGTGGACGATGCGACCACAAAGAGTCGTCTAAAGAAGCTGGACAAGACTCGAGGATTCATGAAATATAAGCGTTTGACTGAGAGCTATCGTCCTCCTCGTAAACGAGTCAAGGACTGGAAAGAGATATCTACACGGCTGACGGAAGAGGAACTCAAGTACCAATCCGCCCGTTGCATGGAATGTGGTGTTCCGTTCTGCCAATCCGATTCCGGATGTCCGATCTCGAATATTATACCAAAATGGAACGACCTAGTGTTTAAGGGTCAATGGCAAGACGCCCTTAATCGCCTCCTCATGACGAACAATTTCCCCGAGTTCACTGGTCGTGTGTGTCCTGCCCCGTGTGAGGGTGCATGCGTGCTCGGGATCAATGAGCAGCCGGTGGGGATCAAGAGCATCGAGTGTGCTATCATCGACAAGGTGAGCATGGCTGATAAACTTGGTGGATGCAACAAGTGATCCAATTGTGTTGCAGGGTTTCGAAATGGGTTGGATGGAGCCCAAGATCCCCAACTTCCGAACTGGGAAGAGGGTTGCAATCATTGGGTCTGGGCCTGCTGGTCTGTCGTGCGCAGATCAGCTGAATAAAGCTGGACATCTTGTCACTGTCTACGACCGCAACGACCGCATGGGTGGGCTGCTCATGTATGGAATTCCGAAGTGAGTGTCTTTCATCGTCCTCTCAAAGTAATCCTGAAGTGATATTACAAATTAGCATGAAGCTTGACAAAGCCATTGTTCAACGCCGTCTAGACTTGATGGCAGCAGAGGGCGTGGTAAGCGCAATCTACCGTGGATATACCGTTTCCGAGATTAATTATTATCAGACTTTCGTCCCCAATACACATGTTGGCAAGGATATCGACGTCAACCAACTCCGCTCCGAAAACGATGCTGTCGTTATCTGTACCGGGGCTACATGGCCTCGTGATTTGAAAATCCCCAACCGCGAGGCTGATGGTGTACACTTCGCGATGGAGTATCTCCAGGTATGAGGACTCAATCGAGAGTATGCAGTCCCATATTCATGTTGATCCGTAATAGCTGAACACAAAGTCATTGCTCGATTCCGACCTGCAAAACGACAGCTATATCAGTGCGAAGGGCAAGGATGTCATTGTCATTGGTGGTGGGGATACTGGTAACGATTGTATCGGTACTTCAATGCGCCACGGTGCGAAATCGGTCACCAACTTCGAGTTACTTCCGAAGCCTCCTGCGGCCCGCGGACGGGATAACCCATGGCCCCAATGGCCTAGGTACGTCCTTTTCTCTTGTGCACAGCGTGTCTTGCTGACCCTTTACCCTAGAATTTTCCGCACAGACTATGGACACACTGAAGTTGCTGCGCATTTTGGAAATGGTGAGGTGGCAGCTGTATCCCGTTACGTGCCCAGCCCCTAACCATAATCTAGATCCACGCGAGTATTGCATTTCGACAAAGGACTTTGTCGTTGACGAAGAAGGAAAATTGAAGGGTCTCAACACCGTCCGCGTGGAATGGACCAAGGACAGCGGGGGACGCTGGAAAATGGAGGAAGTTCCTGGCTCGGAGAAATTTTTCCCTGCTCAGCTCGTTTTTCTTGCCCTTGGATTCCTCGGGCCTGAGTCGACGGCCATCGAAGCTCTCGGGGTCAAACAGGATGCCCGCTCCAACATCCAGACGCCACCGAAGGTTGGTGTCCTGACTGTCGCGTGAGCATCTGCCGTACTGATGATCATCGCTTCCAGAAATATTCCACGAATGTCGAAGGTGTTTTCGCCGCCGGTGACTGCCGCCGCGGTCAGTCCTTGATCGTATGGGGTATCAAGTAAGTCTCGCAACATCTGATTTATCTATAGCTTCTGATCCCCAATCATTAGTGAGGGCCGTGGTGCCGCTTCGGAAGTGGATGCTTGGCTCAGCAATGGCTTGACGAGACTGCCCGAAGATGGTGGTATGAAGAAACGGGTAAGCACCAACTTCATAGGGGGATTCCAGGTCAACTTATTGCCTCCCGGAATGCAGGTGTTCATCCCACCTTCAAGCACTTTATCTGACGCTCCACAGATTGTCGAGGTAGAAGCATGAATGTCTGTATTGCATTTGTATGAGGCCAAGGATTCGATGCGCATGTAAAACAGATACAAAAAGATATGACACGTCTACGGTACAAAGGATGAGTTGTATGTATATGATATTTAGACAATAAATGTATTGACTAGCATGTCGTCTTGCGACTCGAAAATAGAATTGAATCAGTTGGAAGATGTGAATTTCAGACCCTGCTCCTCTTCATATATCCGTATACCCCCTTTACCCCAGAATTCTAAGATGGCCTTGCCTGCTCCCGTAGGTTGAGTAAATGCCACTTCACCCTTAGTGGGATCCAATGGGCATCCCAAGATAAACGTCGTCGCAGCTGCAGACAACAAATGAGAAGCAATGCCTAGGCGGCGATGAGATGAGGACACGAAGAGTCGAGGGATACCAAGCGGTGTGGGGAGTGGCGTCGGATGAACATATAGATTGGTCGCAATATCGACAGGAATAAAAGAACGCAGCGGTCCTTGCGATTGAGAAACACTTAAGGGCGAAGTTAGCATGGAGGATGAAGTAGATGCAGACAGCTCGGCTTCCGATGCAATTGCCATTGCTGTGGCAATGCGCTGAGCTATAACACATCCTACTATCTTGCTTCTGCTCGCTGATGACGGAAGCAAGAAGAGGTAAACTTTACAATGTTGAAGGACAGTCGGCGAAAGAGGCGGGGAAGAGAGGGAGAGGCTCATAGTGGACAGCATAGTGGACAGCTAAAGTTACTGTTATAAGCTGACTGCCTCCAGATGCCTATAAACATATGAACCTTACCTTTCCCCCAATCTTCCCTCCAATATCCGGCCTAAAACAAACGATACGGCCTTTGGCTCCATTCTTGAGCTTCACGCTCGTTGCCAATTCCTCCACGCCAGATTTTAACAACTCTCGCTCCTCCTCTTTTCCCCACTCTAGTCCCCTCTGCACTCTAGCACAATGCGACCGGTGCAAACTCTCGTCGTCTGGAGCACCTTTAGTATAGGATAGATCGCACAGTGGGCATGTCCTGAGCACAGAAGTATCGAGCGAAAAATGGAGCTGAGTGAGTTTGGGGGGTTGAGTCTGACTTGATTGCTTTCCCTTAAAACTCTTCACTGGTCTTCGAGGCTCAATCGAAATTATGCGTCTCTTCTTGAACCGTGGCGAGTTCTGAATAGAAGTGTGATCCGCTAGTGGGCGTTTGCGCTTGCCGTCTAGAGCAGAGGGCTCAAGTTGTGGGGAAGATGGAGTAAGAGTATTGCTGGCATGAGAACCATAGGTACGCTTGGAAGCCATGCAAATTACTAATCGCTGGGAGCAAAGTTAAAGGAATGAGTGAGCGGGACAAAGGGGGCCTGGGAGGATGATCGCGTCGCGTTGGTCGTGTTTGGCGGGTATGCACATGGCACGTGATTATGCGCGCACCGCGTCAGGCGCTCGCACGACGCCATTAGTCACATACACCATGATGTGTGACAGGTGCAGATCGTGGTTCGAGGCGCGTCGAGGGGACTCGGACGCGCTTCTTCACTTTCAAATTTGTGCTTACCGCTATAGACTCACATTGCCATTACCATGTCAGACATCTCGGACTAGTAAGTAAATTATCGAGAAAATTCTTTATGCAGTTATTTATGTTGCCTAGTGAGCTCGAGCGAGAAGCGAACATTGCGAGAAACCGTGAACTCCTCGCAAAACTCGACTTCTCCGTGGATCTGCCATCCAATCCTGGAAAAAGAAAGGCGCAAGAAAAGTCGAGCGCCAAACCCGTACAGCCTAACAAGAGGACAAAGCGAGAAAAGGAGCCTGTTATTCCAGTTCGCCAGTCCGCGCGCCTGAGGAGAACTACTGTTATTCTAGATGAAAGCCCGGGTCAAAGAAAGCGAAGAGAGGTACGCGAATCCGCCTTCTTATTCAGATGTTGAACTTACATTTTTGTGTATTTAGAAAGAGGAAGAAGAACTACGCAAGAAAGAGGAGGAAGAACGTTTAGAAGCAGAGGAACACGCAAGAGAGGCTAAGAGACCAAGACATCATGACCTGGACTTATCAGTTGTAGCCGACGATCTTTTACCGGAAGATCTATCTGCGCTCCGAACAACCCTGCAAACACTCACTCAAACCGCACATCCACGGCGAACAGCGAGCCACGACGCATTTGTCTTCGACACTGATAAGAAAGAAGCGGAAGCTCTTACGGATTTGCGAGAGAAGTTGGGGCGCTTGAAAGTTGTGGCTAGAGCGAAGGTGACCCAGGATAGAGTATATAGTGCAGCTTATCATCCAGATCCGACCAAGGATCTCATCTTTTTCGGGGGTATGTACCGAGATGTTTCATTGGTTCCTTTGCGAAGATATCTCATTAATACCTCCCTTACAGATAAACACGGCCAGCTGGGTATCTGGGATGCTCGCGCGCCACCTGACGAAGCGGCTGACGAAGATGGCGAAACTAGCGCTGCTTCGGATGGGGAGAATGGAAGACATTGGGCGATGCAAATTCACTGGCCCGCCTCTTCAAGGTCATCCATTTCTTCGATCAAGTTTGACCCGGTTAATTCACATAATGTACGTCTTTAGTGCACATTGACTACCGCTGATTGATTTACGGAGTATCAACCAGGTCTTCACGAGCTCGTATGACTGCACTATACGCAGCCTCTCTTTCACCTCGGAAATCTCTAGAGAGATCTTCTCTACTGATGACGTTCTTATATCATGCATCGATTTGCTCCCCACGGGTCAAGAAATGTGGATTTCGGATGCCGTTGGCGGTCTTACGCATCTGGATCTCCGCGAAGACAGGTCTCGGGCTAGATGGTATCAGGTGTCCGAACAAAAAATTGGAAGCGTTAGCATCAATCCTCGGAATCCGCACTTTCTTGTGACTGCATCAAATAATCGTGCAATGAAGTGAGTCTCTCCAGTCATGGATATAGCAGTACTTCATTTCTTCGCCTAACTGCTTGTTTTAGAGTATGGGACACACGCAGACTGGAAAATATCCCAGTGCAGACTTTAGATGATGATTTAGTAGAAATGAAAGATTTCAATCAGGAAATCGTCGAGGAGCACCTTTCCTCTGCCGCAGGAAATAACTGTTTGCGTGCCGACTGGAGGCACAACAAGTCGGTGAGTTCGGCATACTGGGATCCTCGCGGGCGATCCATTTTGAGTACTAGCTATGACGATACTCTGAGACGTACGTGTGATATTGTTACTTTGACGAATCTTGACTCCTGAATCGTATTCAGTATGGGACATCGACAGCTCTCTCATGGCGCGGGATACCCCATTTCCGTCATCTAGGCCGTTCAGTCACGTCCAGCACAACTGTCAAACAGTGAGTTATGGACCACAGCAATGATATTAATTGACTTTATTCATCGCATGGTCAGGGTCGGTGGTTGACTGTTTTCAAGGCGCAATGGTCGCCCAATCCAGACTGTTATCCTCATTTCACCGTGAGTGTTTGGTTCAAAGGTATTTAAACTATAATTAATGTTCGGTAGGTGGGTAATATGGAGCATTCACTCGATATCTTCTCGTGCAAGGTGGGTAGTCCTACGTACCCTATTGTTTTTAATGCAACTTACATCTGAGCTCCTTTACTAGGGTGATCTTGTCACTAGGCTTGCTGATCGTAAAAAGTGCATTTCATAATTCTGACGTGCGCAATGGATGCTCATAGTTGTCCAGGATCACTGCAGTACAAGCCGTAACTTGTTCACATCCTAGCATTCTCGAGCGCGCTGCTAGTGGCAATGCTAGCGGTAGATGCGTCCTTTGGGCGCCCCTGGACCTGTAGTTGCATTGGCTTACCCTCAGAATTGTTGGTCTACGACGTTCGGATGACCAGCGCTATCTGTACATACTTATGTCCGTGAATGCGAATGAAGCGATTACGATGCGGTACCCCAGTACCTTTACGTTTGAAACTGACAAAACACGTCCCTCTGAAGGGTGGCTTTGCCACAAGCTGTTCTTCTGCTTCGTGACTCAACCGACAGTATATGAACGAGCTTGAGCTTGTCCTTCATCGAGCTGGCGCGATTGCGAGAGGCGAAGGAGGAAGAGAATAAGAGCGAGAAAGAAACCAATCGTATCTTCTGTGCAGAAGTCGCCTCGTCCCGTTGTGATTGGCCGGGCTAAGCTGCCACTCCCCTCGACACAAATAGACACGGCTACACGGGCTCAAATTATTGAGCAAGCATACATGGGGTTATGACTACATATATGTAAACGTGGCTGATGATGCATTCTCTGCAGACGTCGGTCTGGACGGAGGTGAGTCAGCGATGAGCTTCTCCGGCCTGAAAGCGTTAGTAACAAAAACGACTTCCAAGCCCTTCGACCCACAGCTAATCCGGCTCCCACCTCTGAATCCGTCCGAACGGGGATGCGCTTAAAAAGGAGGCCAAGTATCCGACTTCCTTTTTGTCTTCGCTATGAGTATAACCTGGATTGTTAACGTCGCCGCCACAGCCGGCGTTCTCCTGTCAGCTCCCTTGGTTTATCGCTTCGCTCAGTTCTGCTGGCTTTATTTCGTCCGCCCATCGTCGATACATCGATATCTTCACGGTCCCTCTCCATATGCTCTTGTCACTGGGGCCTCAGATGGTATTGGTAAAGCTATTGCCCAAGAGTTATACAGTCAGGGGTTCAACCTACTTTTGCACGGTCGCAGTGAGCAAAAGCTGCACAAAGTAGTAGACGAAATAATTTCCCAGTGCCCTCAAGGTCGACAAGATGTCCGCTTTTTTCTGGCAGATGTCGCGGTCGAAGAGCACAAATTTGCGGAGTTGTTAGAGCCGCATAAGCACCTGAACATCACCGTCGTCATTCATAACGTTGGTGGCTCGATCTTTAGGCCGGAAAGGTGAGCCTATTTGACGAGCCTCGTTTCTTATGCTCAACGTAGTGCCTCCTGGCAGGATCGACGGATTCGGCGAGGACGAATTGATCAACGTCATTTACCGAAACGCCGTATTCCCGCTTCTTCTTACCCGCGCACTTCTAAATCAGCTTCGAGGGTCAGCTAAACATGGCCCCATTATGGTTCAGTTCATCGGTTCGCGCGCAGCCGATATGTCCGCACCATTTTTTGCTCTCTATTCTGCGGCAAAGAGGTCCCTGCAGGCATTGGCAATGGGATTAGATGCTGACGAACGCGTGTATGATGGCCCCAGCCATGTACGATTCGTCTACCTAGACGTAGGCGTCGTGCAATCTAACACCATGCGCGTTCCGAACTCGCTGTTCTCCCCCAGTGCAAAAAGGTTCGCGCGCGCACTAGTGAACAAGGTTGGGTATGAGGGAAGGAGGTATGCCCCTTGGATGCCACACGCAGCCATGCAGTGGGTGGCGGAGATTGGAGGAGAGAGGGCAACAACTCGGATATATGGGACGGATGCGATCCTGAGCCATTTGTCTGCGCGGGATAAAAAGCTATCCTGATGGAGAGTGTGAAAACGGCGCATACTACTAGTACATCACTAGCCTAGGAGTCCATGCAGCATGTAAGCTTCAGCGAGTACACAAATGTTTACATTTATCTAAATGGAATATTTAAAACCAAGTCTTCTTGAGCCTCCCCAAAGCTAAGTTACATGCACTGTCTTGGAGACGGTGCACACGTTATTTGATTGGTTCTCAGAAATGCAATATGTAATAAATTGATCCAAAAATGCGTCACCTGAGCGATTCGAACACTCGCGGGCAAAGCCCAACCGCTCTCAGCTGTTAGCAGGCGATCCCGTTAACCACTCCGGCAAAGTGACCCGATGATCCTTAAGTATTCGTTAAGTATGTACAACATTGTCAGCCAGTCGCGTCCTGTCTTTGGGCAGCCCCAGGAGCTTCAAGGTTGAACGCTCGCCGCTGTTTAGATGGCCCCAAATGGCCCCTCGAAAGCCTCATACAGCCTTGGGAACCAAAAATGCTGCTGCTACGATACCCTCCAATCCTATTTCTCATCTTGAGTTTCCTCAAATATCGCCCAAACGACGCTTGATCACCGATGTCTTCGTGGAGGACCAAATTTTGCTGATCCATGTCTGTTCGCATCTCCGGCTTGTTAATAGAACAGCTGTTACTGACTGCTTCTGCATGCCCAGGATTTTCTGACACTTGGAGAATGCAAGGAGTTTGTCAAATTCATTGATAGTCAGCCGCTCGAGCTCACGCCGCCTAAGAAGAAAGGTGAGGCGGATAGAGTAAACTGTGAGTTGCGCCCATCGCATGCCTCTGAAGAAACCCATGGGTTGCGGTAGATCGAACGTCAGTGAACTCTGTGGCCATGGCGCATAGACTCTTCGATCTGCTTTCCCCCCATCTCCCCTTGTTTCCCTACCCCGCCTCCGTGAAGCGGCCAGACGGGGCTTCTGCGCGATGTGTTCATTCATTCAACCCCAACATTCGCATGTATAAGTATACGCCTGGGCAGCATTTCGGACCTCACTATGATGATTCTGTGCGTGACCCTCAGACCGGCGCAAAGTCGGAATGGACTTTGTTAGTGTATCTCACCGGTGCCGAGGATGGTGTCAAAGGCGGAGAAGTGGGTCCGAGTTCAATAAAGACTCATTCACTTTACTGACGAACAATGTTAAATGCGCGCTCGGGACACGTAGACGATCTTCTACAGAAACCAGCGTAGTAAGACCCGTGAAGTAATCACCCCTCCGCTGATTCGAGGTACAGCGTTACTACATCGGTCTGTAGCATTTTTCATCGGTCCAAATTCAATCACCTTACAAGCGAAGGCTGTAACAGCCATGGACACGAATGTCTGCTTCACGAAGGCTCGCCAGTACTTGAAGGCGTCAAGTACATCCTGCGATCGGATCTCATGTTTATAAACTAGGACCTTGTATAGCTCAGAAGCTATAATCCATCGTCTCCTTCATATTGGCAACAGAATACCGATTATGCTTGATTGAAAGCATGGAAAAACAATATACTGGCACCATGCAGACTACCTTCGCATTTTGGGTCTTTTCTTTCTCGAAGGCATACCGGCTTCCACGGTATCATCATCCCTATCTCGGTCGTCTCCGCCCCCTTCCTCTTTTCTACGCTTTCTTCCGTGGACGCTTTTCTTCATCCCGGCTTGCTCCTTGAGCTCATTGATGGCAACCCTGCTCGCCTCGTCTACGCGCTCCCTCAGCAAGGCAATCTCTTCTGCATCAGTCGGCCACAGCTCCATTTTCTTCCCAATAGTCGTCTCAATACGCTGAATGAGCTCGACATCGTACTGCGTGACAAGGGTGACAGACTTCCCGGACCGACCAGCACGCGCAGTTCGGCCGACTCGATGAATATAGTCTTTTGAATGTGTTGGAATATCGTAATTTATAACAACATCCACGTGGGGAATATCAAGCCCACTATGACATAGTCATCAGCCACTGATTGCACTTGCGTGTGGTGGGACGTACCGGCTAGCAACATCTGTAGCTACTAAGATCTTGCGACCTCCACTCTTAAATTTACCCAGCGCACCGAGACGCGCACTCTGACTTAGCTGACCATGTAATGGCACCGCAGGGAACCCGAGTGTTCGCAATATAATGGATAGTCTGTACCGTTATATGCATGTTGAGCTTCACTATGAAATCCAAGAGGTAGTAACGCACCTCTGTGCGTCATGAACAGTTCTGGTGAAGATGATGATCGAGTTCTGCGCTAACGTGTTCGCGAGATAGATGAGGTGCACATCCTTCTGGACTAATGGAATAAAGAGGTAGTATTGCAATAATGTCGAGACAGTAGAATACCTTTGGACATCGTCAATGCTGTTCAGAGACAAATGTGAACAAGTACTCACTTTTCAGATACTTCCACACGAACTGGGTTGGACAGACTCGCTCGCTGGAGCTTTGCTACTTTGGTGGTCATTGTGGCGGAAAATAGGTAGGTTGTTCGCTCCTTCGGGATGATCTTGAGAATTTTGTCAATTATAGGCCCGAAATCCATGTCCAACAGCCTGTCAGCCTCATCTAAGACCTGAATATCAGAGCTTCAAAATCATGGTAGTATCACACCGACACAACACAACACTCACCAGAAACTTGAGCCCCCTCAAGCTGAAGCCCTTCGTATTCTCCAGATGGTCTATCAGCCGACCGGGCGTAGCGACAACTATGTGCGGCCTCTTCGCCAGTGCCACCGACTGTGCCATCATATCCAGACCACCGACAATGGTGACACACCTCACGCCCATTGCAGACCCCAGACCCTCAAATTGCTGCGATATTTGGTAGGCAAGCTCGCGGGTCGGCGCAAGGACGCACGCAAACAGACCTTTTGGTTCTTCCCATAGTTTCTGAAGTATAGGCAATGCAAATGCCGCGGTCTTTCCGGAACCAGTGGACGCTACACCGATGATGTCTCGACCTTGAAGAGCATGAGGGAGGGCTTCGACTTGGATGTCGGTCGGGTGTTTGAAATTTAGTTGCTCAAGTGCCTCTAGGAGAGGATCAATGAGTCCCAAAGATCTGAAGTCTGTTGCTGCTGCAGGTACAGGCGCAGGCGCATCAGACGTCGTGGCTTCTTCAGGAGATGGCATGGAGGGTGCAGGACTAGGCAAGCCTACAGCGAGCGTGCAGACGCTTTGACTCGATCGAGAGAGACTTTCCACTGAAGTCAAGATTTCTTTCCCACGATTCTCGATAAGATACGGCGTCGGACCTGAATATTGATTATTGAATAGCACGTTCTATACAATAGCATACACATATCGACAGCACAGGTATGGGCAAACGCTCCTTGCACATCTACGACAGCCTTCATGGACTCCATGGGCTGGTTGCGGCTCCACCTACCCCAGCAGTGAGTAATACTGCATTACCATCCTCATGAACATAGAAACAGTCTTCCAGTCGGACGCCGACCTATTACACATCGTCATGAGTACCTGGTATCTGGCCCAAAACAAAGAGCAGTAGCCTACTTGTCCCTCGATATAAATTCCAGGTTCGTCAGAGAATGTGTGCCCCGTAAGGATGAGGTCGTCTGATCCGCCGCGTAAATACGGTGATTCGTGAACCTCGAGACCAATTCCTGATCGACACCAAACCATGTCAGCAAGCGAACTCTGCGTTCTAGAGTCGCATACGTACCATGACCAAGTCGATGTGTGAAATATTGCGCATAGCTTTGTGCAGCAAACGTATCTCGAGCAGCACGGTCGACATCTGCCGTCATCGTTCCATTTCGTGCAGCACGTAGCGCGTTTGCCTGAGCGGAGTGCACTAGGTGCCACAGTCTCAGGTGAGCAGCATGGATACTCGAACCGGGCAAAGCGAATGTCTGCAGCGGAAGCGAAGATAAGTATAATTGGTGTGGGTGTAGTCCGCTGGAGATTGTACCCTGGTAACGTCGCTTTGGTACCCGTGCAAAGACCCGTCGCAATCAATAAGGACAAAGTCATGGGGTCCGAGTATGCGATCTGTTCCGCTCCCGTGCGGAAGGGCCGCATTCTCTGTAAGACATCTATGAAATTGATACCAAGTCATGCATAGTAGACTCCTACCTCCAAATAATGTGAGGGCACTCGGGTCACGTAGCCCTGCGGCACCAAGGGCGCCCACGATCATCCGACGAGCTTCTGACTCGCGCATACCTATGTACATATTCTCGCGGACGGCACGAATGGCAAGAACAGTGACCTTGTCGCACACAATCATGAAAAGTCCATGACACACAAGAATACGCCTTACCTCATTGACACACTTCATGATTTCAAGCTCTTGCTCGCTCTTACGCTCCCGCAGCCTTCTGATTTCTACGGGGGCCAAGGCAATCCTCGAGTTGGGTGCAGCCTTTTTCAATCCGTCTGAGATGAAGCTTCGGACCATGCCGTCGACGACAATTGTGTTTCCACTGAGGCTGCTTATGGCTGACACGGCCGTACTGAAAGGATCAACGTCTTCTGGCCAGGACACATACTCTATGTCTGAGGGCGTTGGGATGGAGAGAAGTTTGGCACGGGTAACCTCGAAGGCAGGCGTCAAGATTGAGACCTGGGCACGAATGTTATCTTCTGCGTCCGCCTTGGGAGAGACGATAAGCAAGAGCGGTCGCTCGGACAGCCCCCATTGCGATGATGATAGGTTAGCAAAATACCCAGCACTTGGTCCAGGTTCGGCGACATAGGCTGAGATGTTGAGGGCATGGAGAGTTTGCGCGAGGGACTGCTGACGATCGAGGAAGGAGCTGGCAGTGATAGGAGAGACATGGGCGCAATGATCTGCTAGATGTGAGAAATCTGGCTCGGATTGTGCGGGAAGTATTCTCGAAAATGATTTGGGAGGGCCTGTTAAACGATAGACAAGGATGGCGACTTGAATGACTATGCACACCACGATCAGCTATGAACCAAGCGCCGATCAGCGCCGAACACCATTGCGAAAGGCAAGAAGGCGAGCGCACCCTGCTCGAGCGATGGGCGTGTTTGTTGATACGGCTGTCATGGGCGGGAGAGACGACGGGGAGAGTCTTCTCGTTCATGTTGCTATCCGCTGCTCGCTGCAGTCGAGTTGTAACGGCCTACCGCCACTGCCAGTCGCACCCAAATCGAGCACAGGCCAGCACGTGAACTTGAAGCAGGTCGATCACATGTTACGTCATCCTCCCTGTCCACGTGCTCAACGCGTCGCGTCCGGTCGCGTCGAGCGGTGACTCGGAGTCGGGCATCGCGAAGCCCGCATCGGCTTACAGTGACACCCATTTCGATACTTAAGCCACCAACATCTCGCTGCGCGTGAGATTACCATCCAGCTCGCCATTTCCTCAATCATGGACACTGACGTCCTCCTAGCATTGCTCTCCAGTTTGCTGGGCTCACAACAGTATGATCAAGCGACGCTTCTGGACGCTCTCGTAGAATGCGACGGTGATGTAGACAAAGCTGCACGACGTTTGTTAAAAAGGAATACAAACGATGGTCCACACAGCAGAAAACGCAAGAGAAAAGTTGGTCTCGACGCGTGGTTAGACTCATCAAAGTCTAAGGTGTCAAGGAGGACATCAGGACCTTCATCAGGTCGTTCCGACGCGCCCGCTGTATCGTTTAATGAATCCGCATCAGAAAAAGTTTCTTCCTCGTCAACGAAATCTGTTTCTCCCTTGAAAAACGAAAATCAATCGGCCAGATCAATGCACGAGACATACCCGTCCAATGTTCAGGCTCAGGAGGCGATAGATCCGGTCCCTTCAGTATTCTCGTCTGGGACATCATCCACAAAAGTCAGAAATATCTCCAACAACGAGTTTATGAAGCTTCTTCGCCCGCCAAATTCTAAAGACTCGAATGTGAATAAACGGCTACCTCGAGCACCTCCTCTCACTTTAGGTACACCATTACTCGTTGCGCAACACACGCCTTGCACTCTTCATCCCTCTATTCTGCCACCCGAACTCGCATGCAGGTTTGTGTCTCAATCGCTATATTTAGATACCTGCTGATCTCAACGCCCAGACTTTTCTACACTATGTTACACGAGAGTAGGACCTGGCAGCGGAACCGATGGTGGCTCTTCGAGCGAGTAGTAGAAAGCCCTCATCGAACATCGTTCTATTGTAGAAAGTCCTTCTCAGGAGGCTCAGATGATCGTCAAGACATGCAGCAAGCAGCTCAATTCTGGTATGTACGTTCTTGAAATAATTTAAACGCGACTGCAGCATTGATGATATGGCTTGCGCTGGCCATGTCTCCGGCTCTGGACTTATCTTTATTAAATAGGTACAATGGTCGCCAGACTGAGCCCCCGTCTACTTTTCCTCTCGCAATGGAGGAAGCATGCAAGATAGTAGAGCGTGTAGTCAACGAAGAGATGCGCAAGCGCCAACGTTTTCCTTTGGAATGGGGTGGAGAGTCTTGTGAAGATTACAAAGACTTGGACGGCAAGGTCATATGGCGAGCCAACGTCGCGGCTTCTAATTGTTACGAAGGAGCGAAGGAAAGTGTAGGCTATCATACGGATCAGCTGACGAATATTGGGCCCTACCCGACCATTGCGAGCTTGAGTCTAGGTATGGAAATAGTTCAGCGTTCATACGAGAGTTCAAGATGCGTATATACTGCAGGAACGAGCCGCATTTTTCGTCTACGGGAGGTGATTCCTGTCGAAGACAAAGAGCAGCGCAGTGCAAGAACATATAACATCCCTCTTCAACACAATTCTGTACGTGCCTCTATTGCATCCTATTATCCAGAATTACTTAGGAATCTGGAGCTCGTAATTATGCATGCTTCAACTCAGGAGATGTTCAAGCACTGCATCCCTCCCCAAAACGCCATCGATCTCTTTCACCCACCTTTCCCACCGCCAGTGACCACGAGTGCTGATGGCAGCGAAGAGCCCCTCCCTGCTATTGAATCCTCAAACGCGCGGATAAATATCACGTTCCGATTCTACCGCCCTGATTATCGATCCGAATCGACGCCAAAATGCAAGTGTGGAGTTCCATGCATTTTGCGACCAGACATGAAGAATAGGTATGTTGACCCGAATACTGCAAACGCACACGAGCGGCGCGACGAAGGATTTAAGAAAAACGTGGTCGCGAAGTACTGGTGGACATGCTATGCGGGGGCTCAGAATGACGGGAAAGGGTGTAATATGTGGAAGGTGATGGATGCCGAGGCAGAGGGAAGGGGTCCATTTGCTGGGGATAATCTACTTGCGTCGGGCTCACACTAACTAGCACAACGAAAAGAATAGTAAAATATGCTTCATTTTCCGTGCGAAAAAAAGGGGGAATTCAGAGCACAAATCTTGCTGACTGCAGTCGGGCCTTGGCGCTTGCATAGAGTTAAGTGGTGCCGATCGAGCTGATCGATATGCGAGGCACCGATACCCGGAAAGGAAGTCAGACCACGACAGGATTCTTGACTCATCTTTCGAGCCTCGCCTCCCTGACTTTAGTAAACAATGACTGCCAGGACGGCGACAATCAGTCGCAAGACAAATGAAACCCAAATTGATGTCACAATCAACCTCGACTGCCAGCCCGGCTCTGGCAATGCGCAAGAGATCTCTGTTTCGACAGGCATCGGATTCCTTGACCATGTATGTCTTTGTCCGTCTCGCACACCGAACATACAAATGATATGCTCACGTTGCGTAAGATGTATCATGCGCTCGCAAAACATTCTGGCATGTCACTGACGATGAAGTGCCAGGGAGACCTGTGGATAGATGACCACCATACTGCAGATAAGTACTGATACCGACGACCAGGTCTGCTTCTCCCGTCAGCCTCTTCTCGGCTCATATTTCTCGACTGCACAGGACAGTGCGATAGCGCTCGGAACTGCATTCAAGCAGGCTCTTGGTGAGGTCCGGGGTATCCGCCGCTACGGCACGGGATTTGCCCCTCTGGATGAAGTATGCCATACCAGAATCGGGCACAATGGAACTGACGGTGTTCTTTAGGCCCTATCGCGTGCGGTGATCGACATCTGCTCAAGACCGTTCTGTGTGACGGATCTGGGTATCAAGCGAGAAAAGATTGGGGATCTGTCAACCGAGATGTTTCCGCACATTTTCTATTCCTTCGCGATAGCGGCTGGAGTAACGCTGCACGTCGACGTTCTTCGCGGCGAAAATGATCATCACCGGTAGGCACCATGGTCTCTCAGCATCTTCAATGCTGACTCCCCCCTAGAGCAGAGTCGGCCTTTAAGGCGCTCGCCCTCGCCATTCGACAGGCCATTGAGAGGACGGGGGGCAACGACGTTCCCAGCACGAAGGGTGTATTATAAATTATAGCCAGATCTCAGACATGGGCAGTCATTGCCTACATCGATCTATTTTTGAAATGAACTTGAATAATTTCCTCGGCACGAAAAAAAAAAGTGCGTTCACGATGATTGCAGGAGACTGTCGAAAAGATCTTCAGTTTCCTGCCAGTTGTGATGCCCAGCCATCCTTATAATGACGAAATTCAAATGACGAAGCACGAGAATACAAACGAATAAAACTAATATATAGACGTCTCTTAATTTATCACCGGGAGTAGAACTCTATCTCTCGCCACCATCACACAATGTCTCCAGGAAAACCTTCAAGTCATCTTTATTGATTTCCAGGACACTCGTATCAAATGAGCCGTGCCGCGTACGCGCATTGCATCTCTCTTTTGCATCCAGGAATGCAAGGCCGAACTCGCTTTAAGCACAATGACAGAAAGTCAGCGTTTGACAATTAACCACAGTAAAAGTTACCCACTTCTTTCGCACATCGCCAAAGTTCAGCGCGGCCATAACGCCCACGACAAGGTAGGTGCCCTCTTTCTCATTGAGACACGCGAGAACCAACGGCAGGCTTTTGCGTTTGCTGCGCGAATAGGCAGTGCTCGTTCCGCTGAGCCGATCCCGCAGTGCCTCAACGAGCCACAGGGCAAGACGGGAGAGAACACCGGGGTGCGCGAAGAGCGCCAGGTCAGGTCCCTGCGTGATAGTGACAACACGATGGCCTCGGAGCGTGCGAATGTCATGTTTGTCAATAATGGACGAACCTTGGCGGACAATCGCCTTATGGAGGGCCATGGCGAGCGACAGAGCCTCTCGTAAACGCACGATGCTAGGTAGGATAGTCAGAATAGCTCATAAACAAAAGGAATGGACACCCACTCGCCGAGAGCATCGAATGCTGTCCAGAAATTCTTAATCCACCATTGCAAGTCCTGACCTTCTCCGTTGGCTTGATCCATACCAGCTTCACCGCCCATAGCATTTACCGTTTTGACCCCAGCAGTAGCACCTCCTGGTGGTATGTGTTCATGCTCGCCCTCTTTTCTCCCCTCGTCCCTCTCGATGTTCCACACGCGTCCTCCGCCAAACCACTCACCGCCATTCCGCGCGCCTTCTACTTCTATCTCCAAGCGCACACCCCCGGCGACGTCAAGCAGGGCAGAAACCGCCTCCACCGCATCACATGCGGAGAGTGGTTGTGAGCGATAGCCATAACAGCGTGTAAAGGAAGGGTAGGACAATTCCACGAGACCGTATTCTGGAGCTATCTGATCTAATTTCTGGCGCAAGGAGAGCTTCAGATCCTTCGCCATATGAGGGTATGGCTGTTGTGTCTCAGGTATAGAAAATCTGCGGAGAAATCTGCTCAGTATGACCAAACTAGAGCGGGTATTGTTAACGCACCCCATTTTAGCTAGGAGACCTGTCAGTCGTTTTCGACCTCTTTCTTTCCAAATTCCCAGTCTAGTTGCTACATAGCTAGAATGATACATTGCATCATACAAATTCCAATGTCTGAACATCATGAACCGCAGTTCGTCTGCGGCATATACAGAGGTATCGTCGGGGTGCTGGGATTTGAAGTCATAGTCATTCGCAGCCGAAGCGGGTGGAGGTGGGTTTAGGCGCGCGACTTCGTCGTAATATATGGAATGATATTTGTCGTAGTCGTTACGCGATATTCTGGATGTAGTGTATTGATGTGTTAGACCCAATATGGCCAGCCTTTGCCGCGTGAGTTGTAGGTCACAGAGTATGCATGAGAAAGAGTTCCTACCATAATAAGTCGTTGTCTACACGTTCGAGCACAGTGGCAAGCAAGTATATTGTTCCACACGCACTTTGCCCATGCCATGTACCAGACATGTAATATTTCTCTAGCCGAGAAGAATATTGTGCGCGATCTTCCTTCGACATACGCGATGGTCGTCTCTGGTACGAATTGTTAGGGAAAATTGTGTGAATGTGTGTAGACTCTTTACTTGGATCCTTCGACGCTTGCCGTTGGGCCGACCTCCATCACCTAAGGACCGTCGCTTTCCAGAAGAGCTTCCCCCATCGTATGCGTCATCTTCACCTTCGTCATCATCATCTCCTTCAACGTCCTCTTCTGAGTCTAGTTCGGAATCTTCTTCATCAGAATCAGGTTCGGGCTCATACTACGCGGGTTGGAAGTTGAGAGTTCGTCTCAATGACAATAAAATTATACTGCTCACTGCAAGAGCCTCCCAAGCCTTACGCTCCTCTTGCAGATTCTCTGCACCTCCGTCATCCCATATCACGATTCTGTTACCACCCTCTCCAATGCCAAATATACTGGCAAGATTCTGTGGTCGTGAGGAATCGATTACGTGAACCGTCAGCTGTGTGCTGAACTCCCCAAACCATTCTGAAGACGGAAGGTCAAGAATAGCGCCCATATTCAACAGGATCAAGGTATGCAGCTAACCACCAGTAGAGAAGCCACATGTCAGGTACATTTAGCGAAGGTGAAATCGCACTTACGTCAGTAAAGGTCGCAAGCTCGTCCCTCATTCGCTCTAGTTCGGCATGTCCAGAAACGGGAATAATACGATGCATGACGTCGTCCTGCTTGAACAATTCGGCCAGCATATGTGCAGCACATAGCGCGTCCACATCGGGAGCAACAAGGATGATCACGGACGATGCAGATGTAGCGGGAGAGCGTCGATGAGCCGCGAGGATCTTGGCGTATGTCTCTCCGTACGATGGTCGTGAGGCTGAAGCAAACTGAGGTGGTGGCAGGTAGACCATGTCGTGAAATTGAAGGACTAAACTGTAGACTCGACGCGTAGTAGTCGCGGGCAACGCGTAAGATGACCGTGATCAACAACGCGTTATACGCGGGCACGTGATATTCGACGCGCTTGTGGCTACGCCGAGAAGTAAGAACTTAGAATCCAAGGACAGCGGGTTTCGATCGGAAATTTAAAGATGAAGGTGAATTATGATGCGCACGCACGGGGAGGACTTGTGTTGAATTAGTGTGGTAGATCATGGCAATACTGAAAAATTATTTAAAACCAGCTACTTTTCTCCCTAACGTCTCGCCTCTTTCCTCTAATGCCCCAGACCCCCCAGTTAGTCTTTACCATGACCCGCGGGTCGAAATCCGCTACCTCCCATTTCTCGCTGCCGAATGCATTGGGTCCTGGGGTCACCACCCAATCAAACTCCCCTGCGACGTCCGGTGCCGTGGACAGGGATTTAACATCCCGCTCCACGTCCGCCGGGGAGAAACCAGTAACAAAGATGGGGCATTTACTGGCCAGCAATAACGGAATGACTGATCCCCACTCTGATGGTGATGCGATCTGCAATAGAGGTTCCCCAGTCAACTCAGAAGTGGAGTTCGGTGAAGGAAACCCAAAACCCGGTGAAAATAGGAAAAAGCAGTCCGTGTAGGGATCAAAGGTTTCCTGGAAATGTGCGTGGACATCAGTGTAGTTGGCTTGCATGCCCGTGATTGTAAGTTGTGGTGTGTACGGAACTGTGTACGAAGGCACGCCATATTGTTGTATGGATTCGCGTGTGCGTTTCAGACGAGCAATCGGAGCAGGAGTGGGTGGCTCGTAAATATTGGGAACATAAACGGGCTTCTCTTCGTCGTTCTTTTGCTCCTCGCTCGTGGGACTCTCCGAAGAGGGCGATGGTTGAGTCTTAATTTCAGTTGTAGCAGCTTGGGGTTTTGCTGTCGGCTTTTTGAGCTCGCTAGCTGGCTTCGGTAGCGAGACCTGAGGCCCAATGAAGTACAAGTGGAAGAGAGCGGCGGGAAACAGCAGACACAACTGCTCCCAGACATGCGGCGGGAGCGACGACTCCGCTCGCGCTCCAAGAACGAATAGGCGCATCTGGGGCTTGTCTGCAGATGCAGCTTCCACTTCAGGCGCTCCTGGGGCAACATGGAGTGTTGTACGCAAGGCTAAATCACGGTGAGCTACGGCTGGTGTGTGAACACGCGAGATCTACCTGCTAATGACCGACTACCCTCTGATGTTACACGTTGATTCCGAAGAGTGAGACCGCTGAACTGATGAAGGACCGAACCGATAGTTATGGGATATGTTAAGAGTTTGCTGGCATGCCTTCGAGATCGTTCATTGTCCATGGATGGGAACCCACGAGTGTACCAGAACACGTCCCAATTTGAAAATGATATCGCTGCCTCAGAATCTTGAGGACCTAAGGATGTGTCGGGACATCTATTACGATGGCACCTGCATGGCTAGTAATTAATACGAACCTGGCAACTCGAATTCCCGGAGTCTTCTTCCGCTTCTTAGATCATGCTCATCTTCATTGACTTCTCGCAATCTCCCGCAATATTTCTTATGCTCCTCATCTTGTCGCCAATGTTCTTCAGAACAATGTGTTGGCCAACCACAATCCGGGCATTCGAATTTAACGGCACGGGGCTGCGCGTGAGTGTGGACATGCGATGAGCTGTGTTCTGTAGCGCATACAGGACACGGAGCAAGCTTCTGGATGGCTTCTCCACGCGCACGAATTGCAGGGAATGGTGACTGAGAAAAAGAGTGGACCAGGTTGTCTTCCGTCAGAAGCGGGACCGCATCTTTCTTCTCGGTAGCCTTAGGTTTCTTGAACCAACCAAAGAGCGTTCGAGATTGATTTAAAGGCCTTAGACTAGGTGATCCATATTTTCGAGGACGCGTCCGAACGAGAAAGCGGATGGACGACCTCTGGGTCGCTGGCGAGAGTAGCATGTGCAGACGATAGTCACCAGCGTCATTCGTCTCCCGTCCTTGGCTTGTGCGGCTGCCGCTTCGCGCGCTTCCGACGGCACTCGACACGCACTTGCTACCAGTATCGCGGTGGTACTTAACAAACTTGAACGTGTCTTGAATCTTCATACTCAGGCCGGCCCTCTTCACATAATTGCAACCGGCATATGTTCGCTGTTCTGTGGGTATCTGGATTCGCCTCTAAGTCGATCCGTCGAAACTCGATACCAGTCTTCTCCTTAAGTTTCTCAAGTTATTGCCCATTATATGTTCACTCAAGGTTCACCGAACGCGGTCCTGGTCCGAGCAGACGACGTCCGAATGCAAAAAGTCTGAACGGAGATTATCGTAGGCATCGAAAACCTGGGCATTTTGAAAGCCTTGCCTCTGAAGACCGCCCATCGTCTGAGCAATCACCACTATGGGAGGCAAGCCAGCGGCCTCCCCTCAGTGACCCGGAAACAGGCTTAAAGCAATTGTTGCTTGGGCACGATCAGCTGGTTGTAACTAGGTCTATATATTTATGGATATCTATGCTTTCAAACCACCTAGCTGACTTCGACAGGCAAATCGAGATGCTCAATCTCTTCGTCGGTTTCGAACAATCGAATCGATACGTCATAAGTACGTGTCTTGACATCAATGTTGGCCGCGTTAGAACTGACACCATGATGCTATGACCACAAGCAAATGAAGAAGGCGTCACACTGGGATACATTGCTGAGGAACAGCGGGGTTTCCTTGGCACGTTCGGACGACAAATTTTGCGAACGCATAGACCCTTTCGTGCCCTTGTCATGGATAGTATGGGCACACCTATACTATGGGTCCGTTGTGTTCTATCTTGAATACACCTTTGCAGGTCAATATTGAATTCGAGTTTATTTTCAGCTTCGGCGTCCCTTTGCGTTTATAAATTCCAGAATGTTTGTGCAGCGCCTCAAGGACTTAAGCGAATATACACGCGACGGGGAACCCGTGCTTGACACATTTGGAGAGGTACAACAAAGGTGGCATCTCTGGCGCAGGCGTTACGATACCTTCTTAAGGTTTGTAGATGCTGCTTTACGTCAAGGCTTAATAACATACCATCATAACGTTAGAAAAGATTCTCGTCGTATCTTGACACTAGCTACTGACCCGCAACCGGAGCCGGAAACAGAACTTTTCCATCAATTTGCGCGAGTAGACGAAGGTTTCTTGGCCTGGCGTTTTGTGCTTAGAGATGCTAGAGGCGAAGCTATGGCTAGTATTAGCCGGATGTTCAGGGGCTTTGGTCGTGAGGTATGTTACATTCTCGAGGACATGTCCTATAAAGGAATATATTCACGTACCATGGTTTTAGCTATTCACCGATACTGGTGCGGTTCAATATTATCAGAATTCTAGGGGAACACCAACGCTAATTCCATACTTGTGTAGGCCAATATTTCGTGCGATTCGGACATGATTCTTCCGATCCTCAAGAGACAATCTCAAAAGCTCCTTCAATAATTCGTGATCTTTCCTTAGAGGAACGCGCTGTAAGCAACTACAATATCCAATTATGTTCAGAGATGGAGTTCTGACTACTTATATGGCAGCTTGTGTTGGCCATGTCCGGTAAGTTTCTTTTGCAATTACGTTGTAAGCAGGTGTCATCGAATATTTACTATACAGTCAACATTGATTTTGACTATTTCTCCCGGCACTCAGAGGGATCTGGGTATGTTCATGAGCTGCCATCTGCTCTTTCTTTTGGAAAGTACTAATTTTTGCCTTCTAGGCCCGGATTAGGTTTTTGGTGGTTTTCCAGCGGGGAGTGACCTGCCTGGGCGCATAAAGCGGAGCTATGTACCGAACATGGTATCATGGAAAGGAATATATGTATATAGTGCTTTTCAACCTGCATTTGAAAGATGGCTTCCGACCCGTTTGCTTCTAAGAGTCGAACTGGCGTAGCCGCCGTTAGCGCTTCGCGTCAGGTGATCTACCCTCCTACAGGTGGAGACTCGGTCACGGTGCAGCCTTGCCCTTTCGCACAAGCGGCAGTTGTCAGGCTTGCAGCACGCATCGCTCGCACTTCCCTCGAGGATTCATAGATTTCTTTGTACCGCCGAGATGGCGGATAGTAGGGAAGCCAGACCCTCGACGGATGAAGGTCAGTGTTCATCCCTTTCTGGTTGTTATCAATGATATCCTAACCGGGTCGCCTTATAACCAGAGACCGCACCTCTCCTGCAGGATGTGGACCATCCGGACGGGGAGGGACGTCGGTCTACACATTCGTCCTTCGCAGCTGTAGTTCAAGAACCACTCACCCCGCTCACGAAAGTGCTGCTTGTCATTGCCCTAGTCTTCTTGCTGCTCAGCTCCATCTTTATTGGTCTCTTTGCGGGAGCACAACACAAGTTGAACACTGGGGGAGGCAGGAATGAAGCACCAACGACCACGATTTCCTCTATCGTTACAACGACTGCTACAGATACACGGATTTCTACCTCTACATCTGTTTCGACCAGTACGATCGCTATTCCAGGGCCTCTGCCTACGAGTCCCCCTGAGGAGGTGTGTGCGAATGTTTCGTTACACGAGGCCTATGCCAACATATTATGCCATTAGGGTTCATGTCTGACCCCTGAGTGCATCATGCTGTCCTCTTCAATTCTGTCCTCACTTGATACTTCCCAAGACCCATGCGAGAACTTCTATGACTTCGCTAGTAAGTCGACGCTACTGCCATTGTGTATGTTCTCATCATTTTTCAGCCGGGGGTTGGATCAAGAGCCATCCTATTCCGTCGGATAGGGGCGCGTTCAGCCATTTCGACGCTCTTGCGCTAGAGAATAGATTGCTTATCCAACAGATTCTGGAATCTCAGGTGTCATACGTAGGATCAGCTTTGACTGCAACATACGATGAACAAATTCTGAAGAAATTACGTGGCTTGTATGCTTCATGCCTAAACGAAGACCGGGTGAGAGAACTTGGCTCGGGGCCATTGGCGTCCGTCGCCCGTCGTGTTAGAAAATTACTTCGCGGAAAGACTACGACCGTAGATCCGGCATCTGTTGTGGATTCGGAAAGCCAGGCTAAAGGTCTTACAGCTGCCGTTGCATACCTACATTCCCGGGGTAGGTCTTTATTTATGCTCAGCTGGTCATTTATCTCATCTGTAATCAGGCATTGGTGGTCTTTTTTCGATCGACATTGAGGGTGATGCCGGAGATGACCCCAATTTTATGACCATTTGGTTCAGCCAGCCTGATCTTGGGCTTCCTTCGAAGGTAGTTACGATGCATTAGTCCATGATGTCCGTTAGTTGACGTTTTCTAGGAATATTATGAGGAAGAATCTATCACAGAGCTCTATCAATCGGTTTTAGAGCGTTTGCTACTTACACTAGCTGACGAGGAAGAGAACCTCGATGTTTCGACAATTCAAGAGCATGCGGCGTCTGACTTTGTTGTGCATGAAGATCGTCTGCGCGTTTGGCCCCCATGGCCATGGCCGCCATGGGGTGGTGACGAGGACGGTGATCAGGATAATCAAGAACCCATGAGTCCAGAGAAAGCGCGCAAATTGGCAAAGCATATTATCAAATTTGAGAAGGCAATTGCAAATGTCAGCTTGGACCTGTGAGTGCGTCTAGCTATGAAGTTGGCCTTTGTCTAATACATTTTGCAGTGACATTCTGTTACAAGACCCGATCGCCACGTACAACCCGGTCCCTGTCACTAATCTTACAGCTGCGTTACCACAAATCGACTTTCCGGCATATTTTACAACTTTCACACCCCGCAATTACCCCAGTAATGTGATCCTGACGTCACCGTCGTATCCAGGATCTCTTTCCATCATTCTCAACGAAACATCGTTGGAAACACTAGAAGCGTATTTGGTCACCCGTGCAGGCCTTAAGTTGGCACCTCTACTTAGTTCGGAGACCGAGGCATGGAAGGCAGTCCGTAGTCTTGAAGAGCAGCTCAAGGGTCTGAAGAAAGGGGCAGTCAGTGACCGCGTAGAATTTTGCACCACTCAGGTGGAAGAGGCAATGGGTTTCGCCGCAGGAAGATACTTCGTGAACGAGACGTTCAGTGGTGACTCGAGAGAAAAAGGGACGAATATCATCAAAGGTTGGTGAAAGGTCACGACTTTTTTGGCAATTATGATTCACATACATTCATTGCTAGACATTATCGAGGCGTTTAAGTCTTCTCTCTCGAACCTCGAGTGGATGGACAAAAAAAGTGCTATAGCGGCTGCAGGAAAGGTTTGGATCATTTCCCAGCTGGTTTTGCGCCCTTGATTGATATGTTCAAATGTGCTAGGCTGACGCCATTCGTGTGAAAGTTGGCTTCCCCCTCTCTCCTGACACAAATGATGCTCGTTCAATTGCGATATACTACAATAGGGTCTCAATCCATGATGACACATTCTTCGACAACATGCTAAGCGCGAGGTGTGTCCTACTTATGGTGTTCCTCTCGACAGTAGACTAACATCGTTTCTAAGTGCTAATAATGTTTATCTCACTTGGCAGAAGCTGGGTAAACAGCGTGATCCGGAGACGTGGGAAATGTTCCCATCCACCGTCAATGCATATTTCAATCCTCCCGCTAACGAGGTATGCCCCTGACATTGGCAACTGGAACCAGCGATTGTTCAAATATATTAGATCGTTTTCCCGGCAGGTATTTTGCAGCCGCCGTTCTTCTCTCATGCTTGGTATGAGGTCATGTACATTTGAGGAGCTTTGCTCATCGGTGTGGTGCATCAGGCCAGGCTACATCTCATACGGCGCTTTCGGGCAAGTTGCTTCGCATGAGTTGACAGTAAGCGGTTCGCCTTCGTGCCTTTAGCCGGATAATTGTGATGAACGGCATTGTCAGCACGCCTTCGATTCTGCAGGCAGACTGTACAACCAAAATGGCAAATTAGAGGAGTGGTGGACGAATGCCACAAGCGAAGGATTCCAGTCTAGGCAAGACTGTATTATCAAACAATATTCTTGTAAGTAAACGTGTTTCTATTAATTGATGCATACATCCGCTCAAATTCTTGCAGCATATACAATCGACGATGGGAAGGGTGGAAAGATTCATGTCAATGTGAGTGCACAATGCAAGCATTACGTTTACTTTGCTCAAGGCAGACTACTAGGGGAATTTGTATGTATAAACATACCTCTATTTCGCTCAGCTATTGAAGCATTGAGTATCTAGGACGTCTGGCGAAAACATTGGAGATACAGGAGTCATCCAATCGTACCGCGCCTGGAAGGCCCAATATGATGCTGGTCTGAAGGGCGGTACTGAATATCTGCTGCCTGGGCTAAACTACACAAGGTGAGTATTCACAACAGCAACGTGAGCGTGCTGTTTGATGTGACACTTTAATGAAGAGAACAGCTGTTTTTCATCTCTTTCGGGCGTGCCTGGGCGCAGAATATAAAACCAGAATCGGCTGTAAGTCTTTCAGTAGTCTATTCTTCGGTTGCGCCCTGACTTTACCGCCGCGGCTATCAGGTTGCACGAGTGCGCACCGATCCACATTCACCCAACAGGTACAGAGTAGATGGTACACTCTATAATGTACCAGAATTTGCGAAGGTATTCAACTGTCCCGTCAATGCCAAGGTGAGTTCACAGCTGAAACTATCCGAGATTGAATATTATATTGATCATCTACAGTTGAATCCACCGCAGGACAAGCGGTGTTTGTTCTGGTGAGATGGCTACCAAGGACCGCAGAATTGTATATTGTTCGATATTTATGAGCAACTTTGTGGATGGATCACTTGATCTATAGACTTGCACTTTGAGAATCCGAACTGAGAGGGTTAGTTGGCATCAAAGAGAAAATATCACACCGGTCGCGCGGGGAAAAATTCAAGGGTTACAACTCAGAAGAGCTCGTATTATCGCGGCCCATATCGATAACAAATGTACTTCGACCGCCACGCGGAAGCACGAGAACCTTCTCCGCACCATGCATTTGGAACGTCTCGCTGCTAGGCATTGATAACCCCATTCGAGCCTCGCCAGAGAGCGGTAGAGCGGCAACGCCAATTTTGGGTAATGATAGTTCTCCATGATGCAGGGCAATCAGAGTGACACGAGCAGAGAAGGTGGATCCATCCTATAAGGACAAAATCAGAAAAGTGAAAAGAATGCCTTGCAATTAGCCACCCACCTTTGCGAGGAAGTCACCTTTCTTTCGGCCACTCACGAGCCAGTCGCCAGTCATATCCTCGATATCATACCGCAGCACATAGCCGTCCGTGCCTGCGTCTTCCGGTGGCGCCCAATGAAAAGATGTATGCACGGATATCACAGCAGATATTGGCTGGCCAGCGAACAGGGGAGGCATGCTACCGGAAGAAAAATCGGTCGGAGAAGGATTAATGAGAACACGTAGGCGCGCAGCACAAAGAATCTATACAACTGATAAATAATCCGATAAAACCACGCAAAACATGTAAATCAGAAATGCTCACATGCATCTGCGGTACGTCAACTGGAATGATGATTTCACGCCACTCTCCAAAACAAAAGTCGTTCGAACGTTGCCTGGCTAAAATCTATATATATATATATTATATATATAGATGTTATTGATAGTTCGGTTGCTTCAACGCCCTTACTGACCTTTTGTATTCTGGACAACGCCGAGGAGATCTCGCCATCCATGGAGTGAACATCCGGGACGGTTAGCTCGCCTGTAACGTCATATAGTTCAATCCATCTGGCGTCACTTGCCAACGCTTGCACCAACTTGTCTACCAGCCGTTCACGGTGTGTGCGTAACAATGGCGATTCGGTGATAGTTTCTTCGACAGCCATGTCTATTAGCGACTCCACCTCTGCGAAACCGTCACATTAGAATCTTATCTGTCATAATATCATATATCATTACCTTCGCGCAGCATACGGTAGGTGATGTGCAGTTTCAAAGAATCACGAGCTTGACATAAGTTCAGCACCCCTATACGAGACAAATAGGTTATCCAAGCTTGCCTTGCCCGCGCGCAGCATCCAGTTGAAATACAAATCGCCCTGATTGAGCGGGAGTAATGGTCTGCCAAGACTCGTAAGCACAACAATGAAACACAGCTCATCCACTTACCACAATAGCAGGCTTTTGAGACTGACATCCTGTGATCTTAACGGGGTCCCCATCTTGTTCTGATGGCCTGAGTTTCGCGGACTGTATTCGGATATGCTGGTGTGACGCGGTGGAGAGCGTAAAACGAGTGAACAACCTGATTACGAGCATCAAACTAGCTATGTAAATGTAAAAAAGACGTCCGTACCTGGATCCACGGAAAAAGTCCTCTACATTGACAGTCATCGGAAGCGATGTAGCGACAAAGCGCACAAATTTAAGCTTTCGGGTAAGGGCAGGTTGCATAGTGGCGACATATTCCAGATTAATATTGACCCTCTGGTAACAAATGAGCAAGCAGCCACATAGATACAAGGAGTGCTCACTAGTATATGGTAAGACGAAGCGTCTGAATGTGGAAGTTCAATTTTGACGATCTTGTCGCTGTCTAGTTCTGATAGCTTGATCGCTTCCTTGGAGGTTTGTAGTGTGACTTGGCCTGCATGAATTTAACCACAGAACACTTGGTTAGATAGATCCATGCACAGACCTTGAGGTTCCAGGACTGCTTCTGCAAACCGAAATTGGATCCCTGAGGGTGTAGATAATCTTAGAGTAGCAGTAGAAATAGTATTCCTTCCTGTATGCAATGCGACAGTAAGTTTCGCGGGGGCACCAAGCTCGACTGCCGTACATTATTAGCTGGATCCATTCTCGGCTAACAGAATGTACATACTGCATTGAGGTGGACGAAGACGGACGTCTACAGCATGAAGATCCTTTGGAATTCGAACAATCTTGGGGGCTTCTTTGAATTTAGACCCTTTCAAACATGCGGAGACGTTGGCATCCACCCATTCAAAAACCAATCCAGAGAGCTTAAGTTGGCTCAACTGCACCGCAAAGGCACCTGCTGTTGCTGACTGCAAGCATGAATTGAGTACGGATACACACTGTAACCAAGCAACAAGGAATGCATACAGGACAAAATAGAGTCAGCCTTGTGGTGCCGGACACTAATGGCAGTGTATTCGCAGAGAATGTTAATTGGACTCCTTCAGCACCCACAAGAGTCACAACTACCTCTTCAACAGGGAAGTCCTGAAAGCTATCTGAGTGGCAATCGTCGTTTGAAAATATCTCGACTTACGCATGGGAGGTGATTGTGCACGTTCACATCTAAGAGTGCGCCATCCTCGGAATTTGACAATCTAGCAACCTTATCCACAACGCGAACTGAAAATGCAGGGTAGTCAGGGTACAACAAATCTGGGAAGATCACGAGGCAGCGCAAGGCCAGGTCAGCTGGAGAGGGTTTTTCAAAATAACTTTTTGAAGTACCTGGTTGTAGCTCGCGTACGCTATTGCACAAGTCCGACACCAAACCTGATATATATGTCGTCTCATCCTCCAAGTCCATCGTCAATTCTTTTCCGAAATCATCGACATATGCCTTGAAGAAGTCGAGAACGATATGCGCCCAGTCTTCATCCTTCGCTTTTGCGGTCGACGCATGAACCGACAATGCTTGTAGACGCATGAAAGTCTCTAGCGAAGTCCATCCGTGGGGAGCATAATGCGCAGGCAAGCTCTTGTAAGTCTCGAAAGCATTGGGTAACCGTTTCCGGACACTATAGAGGTGAAAAGAGCTGTTCGTGAGATGATGCAAGCAGACTTCGATGACAAGACAGCTCACACATCGAGCGCTGCAAGGTTTCCGTGCAGCTTGAGAGCAAATTTACGGCGACCAGCGCTTGCATAAAGCTCTATGGCGCGGTTCGCGAGCTGAATATAAAGGTCATAGAAGGATTCTTGATTATCTATGGCTGTTATTAAATCAGATCGCGTGATCTTTTGAGTGGATCGTTCTTGTGATGGTTTGTCCATTGTAGGAGAGGGAGGGGGGATGACAATTGAAAAGGGCGGTCGCATGGGCAGATGTCCGACTTTCGTACCAATGATATCTAGCTACTAATGGGTTAAGTATCTTTTCGTGTATCGCCTCATGGAATACTCACTTGTTGTTGGGCCAACTCTAACAATTCCCCCTTAAGAGCGCTGAACCTAGCCGAACTGATCTTACTGAACGATGCATTGCCTGCCCATGCATCACATGTCTCCACGACACTGAGAGCGGAAGAATATGTCCAGGACTCGACAAAAAACATAGGTAAAGTGTCCTATTCTTGTGTTACCATGGACTGATGCAGAATAGATTGCGATGGCATACCTCAAGCTCTCGAAGACGTCGTCCAAAACCAGTCAAGAAAGTGATGGTCTTTCGGCAAATCTCTACGACGCGGCCCATTTTGCTCAATAGTGCACATTGACGTGCGAGAAGATACACGCGGAAGTCGAATATTGAGATGGAGTTTGCCAGTATAAGGTCGCGGTACGTTTTCTTGGTTACTGACAGCAACGATGCGGAGTCGTCTGTTGGACCAGGGGAGATAAAGGCCCCAAACCAGGATAGATTCTTCTCCCGGAGCACTCGGAAGAACGAAGATTCAAGCTCATTATATTGCTGCAACGCTTCTTCATAAAGGCTCATTCCTTCGAGAGATATGGCGAGACTTTCCTGGTAGTATGAATGAGACATTGAGAGGATCAAACCGAAGAATATGCACCTTCAGTATGAAGAATGTACAAAAATTCCACCCAGGCATTTGTCTCTGCCCTTCCGATCGTTTCACCTCTTCCTCGCGCTGCGTAAAACTCGAGTCGAAAGCCGAAAGGATACCCTCCTTCATTTTGTTGATGAGTTCGGCCCAAGCCGCAGGGTTATCGTACTCCATTGACCAGACTAACTGGACACATCTAACATCAATGAGCGAGGGTCCACATGAGCGGACCACCAGCATACCTGTCCTTCTTCTCCACGTTGAAGTTTGCCTTAATATTGTCCAGGACAGACGTCTTCACTTGAAATATTCTACCTTGGGCGGTCTTTTCCTCCGGGCGTATGAGGTGAATGATTAACCATTCCTGGTTCCTACGCTGAGTAACCGATGCGTGCCAGTCTCTAATCTGCTTTCTGACGGAGCCTTTGTAAGTTTCGTTATCCTGGATTTTACACTATGAATGCATGTACTCGGAACATGGTCAACGAAACGCACCTCGCATACCGCCAAAAACAGATTGAGCAACGGCTTCTCCAGTAATGTTCGTGGGATTTGAGATGTATGCGTATCCCGCAAGCTATCCAGCGGGACCAGCTTCACATCTAATTCTTGGATGTTCTGTATGGCATTCCGTGCGGTAGATTTCCAATGGAGAGAATGTAGAGGAAATTGACATAGGAGAGCCGCATACGCTTGCTTCCAGTGGTCTGTCGCAAGGAAGCCCGGAGCAGAAGCATACGTTACTATAACACGGTGGTCGTTCAGAGAGTTCATATCGAACACGGGCAGTCGTTGCGACAATTCGTCTTCGTTTTGTCAAGCTCCGGGACATTAAGCTATGTCAAATCTCGAGATAAGAAGCAGCGATAAATCACAGACACTAGTGCATGACCACGCGCGAGAGACAAAAACAGCAAAGACGGTAGTCGCTCGATCGCCTTACCTGGGTACACGGCTACTCCCGAGCGTCTCGACGACGACAAGCTGATTGCATTTCATCAAACTCGGCGTCAAGTCGAGGCTATGAAGCCTATGATGGTCTCCCGAGCACCCCGCCTCGGGCCGGCTTCAAGTTGAAGCAGTCTGCTTCGGTCATCACCTCCATCCATCTACCTTTCAAGGACACCAGTACGCTCTATTTTCTGATTATTACTATGCAGCTCTCTCATGACCCCCCTTGGTAGCACTGATGGTCCAGTTTAAGCCCGGGGCCATCTTGTTCCATTCTGTTGCCGCAGCCATTATGGCTTACGGCTACATGAATCTGAAGAAGCTGCCTTTCGACGCGTTCATTCAAAGTCAGAAGGGAGGTCATGGCCAATACCTTACAATCATAGGGTGTGTCTTATTTTTTTTCGGCGATATATCATTCTTATATGCGCAGTCTTGGTCTGGCTTTCCTTACCATGAGTTTGGGCCTGTGTTCGGATATACTACCGGCTGTTTCTGGTGGGTGGCTTTCCCATTGTCCTGATATTACGTACCCCATATTGATTCAGTGCGATAGCTTTCAAGGTGATAAAGAGAAGCATCATCATGGTTGCGTTGCCAGTGCGCTATCTTACACTTTGCATGATGTACCTTGCGGAATGAACTTAGACCCCGCATAGATTGGTATTATCGTGACTCCCGTATATTGGGGCCTATTCTTGTTTTTCCCCGAGCTAATTTTGCAGCCGCTACCTGACTCAATGATGCCTCGTCCAGATGAGCTGGTACCTTCGGCAGCTAGTTCTCTAGACCATTTGCAACGTATACCCATACAAGTTGATCTGGCCCTACATGCTTGTCCTGTCATCGCCCTCTTGCTCGACTTTTATCTCGTTGAACGGAAGTACACTCGTACACAGGCTGTGTATGGCGGTCTCTCGGTATGCGCTGTTGCTTGCATCCTATATGGATCCTGGGTTGAATATCTGGCGCCTTTCAATGGCTCTTGTGAGTCCTTTATTGGGGTATCCAACGTTCGCTCACTCTGTACACGTTGCAGTCCCTTATCCATTCCTAACTGAGAATCCGTTCAACGTTCGACTTGCAATTTATGCTGGCCTGAGTAGCTTCGCTCTAGTGATGTTCTGGTTGATGAATGCCTGTCATTGGTAGGTATAGAGGCCATTGGTACATATGGATGTGGATGCACGTAGCAACAGCTTTCTAGAGTGCTTGTAGTGTATTCGCTCTAGATGTGGACTAACAGTATTTAACATGTCTTAAAGTGCCTTAGAGCATGAATTTAAGGCTTTCTTGTCTCATGCAACCTTCGCATTATACTTTGCTACCATCTGCGCCAAGTAGACATACTATGAGTTGCACGCGCTTTACCACGGTTTTCGGTATTTGGCCTGTTATTAAATCAGTACCCCATAAGAGCACATAATAAATACACGGGAAGGTGCATCTACATCTCCTCTATCCTTCCAGCTACTCAGAAAAACATTATATGTCTTACATCCTCCTGCGGATGTCTTCCCGTGAGACGAGTACGAAAAGTTCGGGTGTTTATATCTCGGGTCACAATATGTCACATCGGCGTCATTCGGCAGCCCTGCAAGCCAAACATGCACAAAGGCTGAGAAGTGACTCGATTAAGGCAGTGCCACCGCTGAATTACGTAGCCACCATGTGCCGAGAGATGCCGCGCGTGGCATCCGAATTTTGTCACCATCCATCCTGACTATGTAACGCCAAATATTGTAGACAGCATAGATGATGTTTTCTCTCACAAATACCTCTCGGAGAATATGAAGGAGTACTTGATACAGCTTCAAAAAATTTCTCACAACAGTATGCAATTGCTTATGGGCTAGTTCTTGCGCGATGTGCCGATCTTGACTCAGAATTGGCTGAATGAGGTGTAACCGGCCGTTGTGCAAGAGTTCTCTCTGTCTCCATTGCGAATTTCATAATTCTGAATAGACAGACCTTTTCCAATGTTCCATACGGAGGTTGTGTGATTTTATGAGATTTTATGAGCGAAGGAGCAGGAGCCCAGACGGGATTTATAAACACTGGGTCGAATAAAAAGCGCGCGCAACTCATAGTAGAGCCTTCAAGCACAAGCTTGATCGGGTCACGGCAGGACCATGATATCGATCCAACCGTGACATCGATCTGACTGTCACTACTGTACAACTCCTGAGAATTAAACTTCCAAGTTCCAACTGCTTAGAGCTGCAACGCGCGCGATGGCTGGTATAAGTCACAAACAAAAACTATGGGGAGGCAGGTTCACAGGGAGTACTGACCCTCTGTGTGTACTATTCGCGAATATACTTCAATCTGCTCACTCAAATATAGGATGCACGAATTTAACCAGTCCCTGAAGTATGATAAGCGCATGTACGCTGCAGATATTACAGGCTCCATATCATACGCACGGGCATTAGCTCGCGCGAAGATATTGACAGAAGAGGAAAAGATCAAACTTGTCAACGGGCTCGACACTGTGCGCGAGGAATGGGAGCGAGGAGAGGTATGCCGATACATTTGAGAATAGACTCATAATTTACATGAGATGTCACCTACAGTTTCAAGTACAGCCTGGCGATGAAGATATTCATACCGCCAACGAACGACGATTGAGTGAGATCGTTGGACCCCTTGGTGGCAAACTGCACACTGGACGCTCCAGGAATGACCAAGTTGCGACAGACATGAGGCTATGGCTCCTTGGTCAAGTTGATGATATTGCGCAGTCGCTTAGAGGTCTCATTCGCGTAATGGTCGAACGGGCGGCCAAAGAAAAAAATTATCTGATGCCTGGCTACACGCATCTACAGGTTCGTGGTCGAGTGTAGTGAACAATGTGAACAATACACTCATCTATGGTGCAGCGCGCACAACCAGTCAGATGGTCGCATCTTCTTCTATCTCATGCCTTCCCTCTACATGCAGATCTCCAGCGTCTTGAACAGATGATCCCTCGCATTTCCGTTCTGCCCCTCGGATGCGGCGCCTTAGCGGGAAACGGGTTCCAGCTAGATCGCGACTTCCTTGCTCAGGACCTTGGCTTCCAATCTGTGGCTGAGAACAGTATGTACGCAATCAGCGACCGCGACTTCGTCGCTGAATTCATGATGTGGGCGAGCCTGGCTATGACGCATTTGAGCCGGATGTCCGAGGATTTGATCATATACTCGACAGCTGAATTCGGTTTCATCAAGTTGAGCGATGCGTACAGGTCAGTCAGTGATAGTTTATGTGCCAATTGATCTCTTAGCTGGTGGTTGTAGTACGGGTTCAAGTATGATGCCGCAGAAGAAAAATCCTGATTCATTGGAACTTCTGCGAGGAAAAACTGGTCGCGTCTTCGGAAATGTTGGTGTTTTAGTTTGTGATATTGTCCTAGGTCTTTATGTTGGGCACAGATGTCGGGATTTATGATGTCATTGAAAGGCCTGCCTTCCACTTACAACAAGGACCTTCAAGAGGATAAGGAGCCACTTTTTGACACGGTAGACACGATCTCAGCGTCGTTCAAGATTGCAGAGGGTGTCATCGCAACGATGGAGGTGTGTCCGCGTATTGAGTTGTTGTCAGCGCCAGTGATCAACTAGAGACACAGGTTCAAGGAAAGGCGATGTCCCGGGCGCTGCAGGCTAGCTCTGACATGCTTGCGACCGACCTTGCTGACTATCTCGTGCGCAAGGGGGTGCGTGATTTGCCTCAGCTGGTGCACACCAGGGCGCTAACATCGTTTGTCTTCTAGATTCCGTTCCGAGAAACGCATCACATCTCTGGGCGAGCGGTCGCCCTCGCAGAGTCGAAGAAGTGCTCATTACAGGAGTTGACGGTGACAGATTTTCAGAGCTTGAGCGACAAATTCGGCCCCGATGTCAAGGAAGTGTTCGACTTTGAGCATAGTGTCCAAAGTAGGAGTTCTATAGGAGGCACGCATATCGGTATGGTCGAGAGGCAAATCGAGGTGCTCCGCGCGGCGCTAGCCAACCAGGTAACTGGGACTGAAGGGCTATGACAGCGTGATTCTACCTGTAAAAACTGTATGATACTACTACTATAAATTGTACTGACATTGTGAATCTGGCTGTGCAAATTGTAACTTCGTGTTAGATCTGTCCATTGGCCAGGCCGCATTGGCCGATATCTCGGCTCCGTATCGCCAATTTGCATCGCCCTGCGCAAACTAAAAGGAGCTGGCGCTGAACCGCGGCCCCGGCGCCTCTCATTCAGGAGTCTCAAACCATCACGAACCCTTGCACTGCCGCGCAAGAGTTCAAATCGCCTTGCACCACCGCTCATTCCTTAGCCCTCTTCCTTAGGACTCACTCAACCCCTTTATCTGCCGAACACAGCATTGATTGTTGTGTCGCTCACGCTTTCTGACTTTCATACCTTTTTACGACCACACCACTTCATTACTATCCTTCCTAATCCCCGTCGTCAAGCATGGCTAGGGACAGACTTGCAGCGTTGAGGGCGAGTAGAGGACTCATTCTGCTTGGCTATTGTCCTTCTAGCTGACATGGCAACCCCGCAGGCCCAGCAAGGAGGAGGCTACAACACCAGCACGTACGTGAAGCTCAGCCATCGCCCGGTCGTGTGTCCTATACTCATAAGCGCCTCAGCGACTCCTACCCCATGCAATCTCAACGGGCCCCTTACTCTCAACCCGATGCGAGCAACGACAGTATCGACTCGGCTGCCAAGGATGGCACTGCGCCTGCCATGGACAGCATGTCTGCCTTCTACAGCGAGGTACGTCCGGCCTGCCCGTTGCTGCGCAGTGTCACATCGCGGTATGGGCGCTGATGCTCATGTGCGGACGCTGTTATAGATCTCATCCATCCAAGACGACCTCCGGACATTCAACGACAATGTCGCCAGCATTTCAGACCTCCACTCGCGCTCGCTAGACAACACGGACGATGCAGCGGCGCAGCGCGTCGCCCAGCAGCTCGATGAGCTCATTGCGGACACCAGTGCACTGAGTAACATGCTCAAACGAAGGATAAAGGCGCTAGAGAAGCAACCCGGGTCAGGGAGAGACGGACAGATTCGCAAGCAGCAGGTATGGTTTCGACTTAGGTTTACGGTCCGAGAATTTTTATGTACGGAAGGCTGATATTTGTCTGCAGACGGGCTTGGTCAAGCAAAAGTTCGTCGAGGCAATTCAGAACTACCAGGGCGTAGAACAACAGTACCGGACAAAGTACAAACAGCGTTTGGAACGGCAATACAAGATAGGTACGTCGTTATATTATGGATTTGAGTTGTGATTTTTACGTACATATGCAGTCAAGCCCGATGCAACGCCAGAGGAAGTCAGGGCGATTGTTAATGACGATCAGGGTGGTCAAATTTTCAGCCAGGCTGTAGGTTATCACTTCTGACAGAGTCTGTCCTCAGCTGACATGTGTTGTTGCAGCTCATGAATTCAAATCGATACGGTGAAGCACGGTCGGCATATCGTGAAGTTCAGGAGCGGCACGAGGACATCAAGCGCATCGAGAAGACAATCACGGAGCTCGCGCAATTGTTCAACGATGTGGGTCGAGGTTACATTTGAGTTGAGTCTGCGACTGATTGATCGTACAGATGAGTGTTATGGTTGAGCAACAAGACGAGCAAATCAATGTGATTGAGACAACGGCAGGAACAGTCGAGAAAGACACTGAGCTCGGGTATGTTGTCGTTGTTTTGCATTCATGCGCATGTCCACTCATGCGCATCCCAGCCTCCAATACACAGAGAAAGCTGTGGTTTCTGCACGGGCGGCGCGGAAAAAGCGATGGATCTGCTTTATTATCTTCATCATAATCATTGCCATTATCGCCATTGTTATCGCCGTGGAGGTTACTAAGAAGAATTGATTCGGTGGATTTCGGCTCTTGCTGTGCCTTGTGTATCATACCTCTTTAGTTGCGGACATGGACAATCTCTTCGGTATTTCCTTGTTTTATTCTACGTCTTTTGGCATAATACCCCGAGCTCGGATCAGCCACATACAGCTGCGCCGTCCCCATCTAAGATTTGTTGTGCACTGCCTTAATGCACAGCGGACTGTGCGCATCGACAATTCGCACGAGACGGTGCGATAGGCGATGGGTTGGTTTGGATTCATATTGCTGCCCTACAACTATGTAGACTAGAGCATCCGAGGGATTTCTTCTGACAGTGTAGAAGACACACGACTCAGGTGCGGTACGGGCGAGGCATGGGCATGGGGTCCCGAATCTGGTGGGAGATGCCGTGGCAAAATGCGGCGCAGCGTGATAGGTGGACGTGCACAACCTGGTCGTAAGCAAGGGAACACATAGACGGAGTGTGAGAGTGGACAAGCAGGGTACGAGCGCGTAAATTAAGCCTGGGCGGACGAAAGGACCATTGACCTGGGAACACGGAAGTCGGTGCTTGGTGCTTGCTCCCACCGGAAAGAGACAGCCGCTGGGGTCCGGAACAATCGAAATTTGACGGAACACGTTGCCAGAAAATGATAGACAAGAGATGGATGAAGACAGGTGCGACGACGGGGACGATAAGAGGGGCGCGGCAGGGACGAGGCAGGGAAACCGGAAGGTGAGACAAGGCGAGACGAGACACGGCGCGGCGGGCGGTGGTCGACGTCGGAGCAGGACTGCGGGATGGATGAGAGGTGGCCCGAAGATAAGAAGATGTATTCGGGTGAGACGTGGAAGAACGGCGCAGAGGAGACGAGGCCCAGACAGGTGTGTTGCGGAGGCGGCGGCAAAAGAAAAAAGAAAGAGGAAAAAAGATTTTGGGCAGGCGAGCGGCGAGCGGGGAAAGCGAGAAGCCACCCGGCCGATCGGGGAGATCTTGGGCCTCTCGGGCATCGCTTTGCCATCCACGTGCGCCTTATCTTAGATCTCCTCCTGCACGCTGAGCTGACGCGTCCTCTCCAGCTACCATATAAACCTTCCTCGCGCCCGCTCGCCTCTCCCTCCCCATCCAAGCCATCCCCTCTCGCAATTGCCCTCGCTCTCGCACGTCGTAAGTCCGCCCTCTCTCTCCAATGTCTCGTAATGCTTACAGTTTCGCCCAGTCTACACACCGTCTTCATCTACCCTCACATCTATCCAGTATGCCTGCCAAGAAGCGTTGCCAACTCCAGAGCGAGCCTCGCTGTAGTTCAGCTGTGCTGCGTATAGTAGGCCAATGCCCTCATTGTCGCGCTGAGTTCTGTGGAGCGGTGCGTCCTGTCTCCCTCTGTCTCCTGGTCGTGTGCCTAATTGTACGCAACCTCTCCTCTCTTCACAGCATCGTATGCCAGAGCACCACAATTGCCAGAACCTTGAGAGCTGTCGACAGCAGGCTTTTGAGAAGAACAAGGCCAAGCTGGAGAGCGAGCGCACTGTGGCGTCCAAGATGGCCATGGCATGACGCGTCTCGTCGACCACCTCCTTCACGTCACCCCCCCTCCCAGCGTCGTCATTTTCCCTCCGAACCTATTCATGACATCTTCAACGCGCGGTGGCCCGTCGTCATCCCTTATTATTATGTCTCCCTTCCATGATCGCACGGACACATCGCACATATGTTACACGCTACTACTTGTTATTCATGGCCTATCAGTGACCTCCTTGCCCACTTATCCCTTTATCACCTCGTCGTATTTAATACCCTCCCTCCCGCTCCCATTTGTTACAATCTCACACTCGGTGCATGTATATATGTAGAATCTACTCTCTCCTGGTCATTGAGTCTGAATTGACTTCAGTGTATGGCGATGCCCAGCCTGAATCCTGATTGTTCTGATTCTGATCGTGACGGACGCAGACAACATCGAGCACGTCCTATACGTGAGGCACATGAATTACGCAACGCGCAGAGGATACTACATGACGTGTAATGTCGTGTTCGATTACGTGGAACTGGGCTGGATGTACACGAAACAGGACGTACTATACTTGCTGTATGCGCATGCGAGACCTTGTCGCATGGATGCCAGGGAGACCGTCACTACACTGCCCGGCCGCGCACGCCGCAGCTGGCACTTGGAACAAGAGCGACCAACGCTTACCGACGCCAGCAGGCGCAGCGGAGACAGATGCAACGCCGGATCAATCCCCAGCGCGGAGATCAGCCGCACCTTCTCCTTCCAGCGCTATACCGAACAAATACTTACGGGCACTTTAGAGCAGCGTCCAGGGTGCGCAGGAAATGGCGCCGACCGCCAATTTGCAATGCACCAGTCTGGCAGGCGCACGTAAGGGCCTTTGTTCTCAGCGGCATATGCCAGTCGCCTGCTCGCGCGACCAAACCGGGCGTGGGTTCGACGGGGACCGAGGCGGCTGTCTGTCGACGTCCACGGGTGTTTGCTGTGTGCTTGACAGGATGTTGCAGACGTTAGCTCCTTGGCGTGCGACGCGGTCGGGCAGGCTGCTGAATGCAATGAATGCGGAGGGAAGGTCCGAGCGGGAATGTGCTTTTCGTGCTTTCCGGCGAGGCGGGCCATCCATGTATATAGCTCGCTCTTGGTGCTCGGTTGTGGAAACTTGGCACGCAAGGCCCATCTGCAGCTTCATGCAGGCAGCCCCATGAAGTGTGAGATATCCGATTGATGCCCCGGATCCTGCCCGGTGGTTTCCTCGATGCGCTAAATCTGCAACGAGTCCTGGGTATATGCGCGGGGCACGGTGGGGACGATCCGAGGGGCCCTGCTCGGGCAAGAAGACAAGCATGAAGACGTTATTCCGACAATTAGACTAGTCAAACTTTCCAATGGGTGGTGAAAGGGTGCGATCTTGGCCACGGAGGCTCCAAACCCTTTCAAGACTGCAAGTTCATGAATCGCACGCACCCTTGCGTTCCAAATAAGATAGCTCTGGCATTCGTGTCCTGAAACTGAATCCAGCGGGCGCCACTGGGCCCTGAGAGGTAAGACGACCTACGATGCTGGGTTCGCCGACCAGAATAGCTGTGGCATTTCCATATGCCTAAAATCCCAAATCGGCGGACTCTCCGGCGGGCGCGAGGAGCCTTCGTCCCGGAATGATCCAGGATAAGTAACAAAAAGGGCTCAGTAAATTGGAGGAGCTGAAGGTCCGTTTGATATCCAAGATCAGCGATGAGTTCCGACCGAGCCCATTCAGTGTGCACTATGTCCGACCGAATAAGCTGGTGTATAAGAAGTTGGTCGACGCCCAGTGTCATAAGCAGAACGGTGCGAATGGTCGAGTTGAAGTCGCTCAGACACCGTGACGAAGTTGGACTTGGATGCGCCACCGGGGAGGGCCGGCCCGAGTGACCGTGACCGGGGCAGTACAAATGAGAGACTGTGTAACCGGGTTCCCGGATTCTCCCAGAGGGGGAGTTCCGACCAGAGATTATTGCCATTGCTCGAGCGGGGGAGTTGATTCGCAGTACAGACAACTGTGTACAGGTCGGACAGTCGCCTGATGGAGGAGAAGAGTACTGGGCCGAGCGGTGCACGCGGCGGAGGTTTGCGGGGCGGGTATTATGCGGCGGGGTGAGGGTGGGTGAGAGACCCGAGGAGGGGAGTTGGATTCCGTCTAGCCCCGTCGACGATGGAGGGCCCCATGATGCAGAGGCGTCCCCAGCTGCATTTAGACGCAGGAGTAACGGTTTATCGCCCAATCTGGGTTCTCGACTGATCCTTCCACGATCGCTGCTGGCTTGGACGCGTCCAGTGCATATAAAGCACACCCTCGCTCGCCGCCCACGACCTCCAGCTCTCTCTGTCCGAGTCTCCTCCATCGGTCTCAGCGTGCTGCTCCCCGACGCGCCCCGATCATATCCCGTCCAATAAACACGTGCTTATCCGCCGCACGGTAGTACACGATCCTAAAATGTACAGTCCTCTGCCCTCAGGCTGCCCCCGTTCAAAACTGATTGTTCACCATCCACGATGGCGGATAGACTCAAGCAGCTCACGAATCACCTCCAAGACAACAATTCCAACATGTCCGTCACAGCAGGTAAGGCCATCCTCCCCTCTCGACTGCGCAGCACAAGTTCACAGTGGTCGTGCTCAGAAACCTGGGAAAGCGTCCCGCTTGCTCCCCCTGACGCGTGCGCCGTCGCGCTATTCCAGCGCCGCTAATGCTACTGACCGCGTGCATGTTCCGGCAGCATATACAAGCTGACCTACGCGTACAAGGACGATACCTACCCCCAGAAGGTCAATCTCGGCGTCGGCGCATACAGGGACGACAACAACAAGCCCTGGATCCTCCCCGTCGTGAAAAAGGTGCGCTCGTGCCATTCCACACACCCCGGTCCCCGTCCGGACCCTTCCATACACTCGCCCGTCTTCCGAGACGCATCTCGGCTGCATGCCGTCGGCTCCAAGTCGCGCTAGTGCTGATGCGCATTTCCAAAAACTTTTAGGCTACTGAACGGCTACTCCAAGATCCCAACCTCGACCACGAGTATCTCCCCATCACCGGCTTGCCGGAGTTCACCAGCGCGGGCGCGCGCCTCGTCCTGGGTCCCGACTCGCCTGCGCTCCTAGAGGGCCGGGTCTCGAGCGTGCAGACCATCTCGGGAACGGGCGCGAATCATCTCGGCGCGCTGTTCTTGAGCCGCTTCTACCAGTGGGAGGAGGGTGTGCAGAAAGTCGCGTATGTGAGCGACCCGACGTGGGGTGCGTGTCTCGCTTGATGCCGCGGGAATCCGCCAGTGACGGTGCGCGGGCGCAGTGAACCATTTCCAGATCTTCAGAGGTGTCGGCATCGAGCTCAAGACGTATCCTTACTACGACCCCGCGACGATCGGACTCGCGTTTGAGAAATATCTCGCATTCCTCAAGGCTGCGCCGCGGCGCTCGGTGTTTGTGATGCACGCGTGCGCGCATAACCCCACGGGCGTGGATCCAACGCGTGAGCAGTGGACGCAGATCGCGGACGTGGTGCTCGAGCGAGCGCATTATGTGTTTTTCGACTGCGCGTACCAGGGCTTCGCGAGCGGCGATCTGGACAACGACGCGTGGGCGGTGCGGGAGTTTGTGAAGAGGGGTGCGCCGCTGCTGATCTGCCAGGTGCGTCGCCACGGGATTTCGGATGGGAACGGGACGAAGAACTGACGTTCGCACTATGGCCGCAGAGCTTCGCGAAGAACGCGGGGCTGTATGGGGAACGAGTGGGCGCGCTGCACATCATACCGCCCGACGGGGAGCGGGCGGTGCGCATCAAAAGCCAGCTGTCGGTGCTGACGCGGAGCGAGATCAGCAGTCCGCCGGCGCACGGAGCGCGTCTGGTACGTCGCTGGTCGGACGATGTTGTGCTGACGTGAACTGACGGGTGGAATGGATGAATTTGCTTTACCCCGCTGGATGGACGCATCTATCGGTCACGATGTCGCACGGACCCGGGGGCAGATGGCGCTGATAATGAACGACGCAGGACTGTTTGAGGAATGGAAGGTAGACATCAAGACGATGGCCGAGCGCATCATCGCCATGCGGAAAGAGCTGCACCGGCTGCTGACGGAGGAGCTGAAGACGCCGGGGAATTGGGATCACATCGTGAACCAGATTGGAATGTTCAGGTGAGTGTGCGGCTCTGGATGCGGATGGGTGATGGGGCGTGTGCGAAATGTGGTCGCGGGCGGAGGCAGTAAACGCAAATGCCTCGGCGTTCATTGCGTGGAGGCATTGCCTGGACGAGTGTGTGGTTTGTCATGTGGCGGATGGTGGCATGGCCGGGCGGCCCGCACTCCGCTTGTCTAGGCGATGTGCGTGTGCGGGTGGCAGCGGTGACCGGAGCGGGGGGTAGTGCGTGGCCTGTGTGGGTGGCATGCGCTCTGCAGGCACAGGAGAGATGGGAGCGCAAGGGGAGATCGGAGGGGTGCTAGTCGAGAGAGAGAGTCGGGTGTTGTCGCGGGAAGATCGGCGGGGGTATCATGTGCCTGCGGAGCGGCGGCCTGGGACGGAACAGAAATTGGGATGCCGGCGGAAGAGCCGAGGGAGGTGATTGGCAGGGAAGGGGAGGCGTGGGGCCGGCGCGGACGGCGGGGTGCTGACGTCTGGCGCAGTTTCACAGGGATCACGGAGGCACAGAGCCAGGCGCTGACCGACAAGGCGCACGTGTATCTGACGACGAACGGGCGGATTTCAATGGCGGGGCTGAACAGGCAGAATATCGAGTATTTCGCGGGGAGTCTGGACAAGGTGGTGCGGGGGCAGTTGTAAGCGGCGGACGGATGATATGATGGGCGTGTATTAGTTAGTAGCAGTGTTGGAATAGAAGCCTTACCCGATTGAGAGCGAGATTGAGGCGTGGGAAATGACGTGGCCAGTGCCTGGGCTGGTGCCGGCAAAAAAATGCGGAGTGACATCATCGCCTGTCCGTCCCCCGCCCGCCCTGCCCCCCCTTCTGGTCTCCTCCCCG